CTTGGTTTCTTATAAAAAAGAAGAATAGTTCTCTATACCTAATTAATTTAATTATTTAAATAAATAAAGTTATAATTTATAATACCTTTACTCCTTTAAAAGCAAAGAATTTCTTAAAAGACTTTAATATATACTAAATTCTTTTACTCTTAGACTTCTTCTCTAAATATAACTAAGTTCTTTTAACTAAAAAAAGTGAAAATTTAATAACGTTTACTACTCCCCTTAGACTTCTATATATATATACCTTACTATAAAATAATACTAATTCTATAATATAGTTTATAAGAGTTATTACCTAAATACTCTATAACCTTATACCATATTATTACTAAGCTTTTTTTAATAATATTATTATTAAAAGGCCTATAACTATATATAACAATAAAAAGCTCCTTAATTAAGCTAGTATTTAATACTATATCTATAAACATATTCACTATATTAACATAGTACTCTTTAATATTAAGTTAATAAGCTATATAATAGCTAACAAGAAATTATAATAGCTTTAAAGAACAACTATTATTATTAACTATATCTATAGTTCTAGAGGTTACTGCTTTAATTAAATAAACGTTATTAAGATTAAGGAATAAAAAGAATACAAAGATATTAGTAAAGTTAGGTCATTTATAAAGATAACTAGGTTCTATAGATTATAGGTTAACAAATACTTAGAGATTATTTTACCTTTCCAGAAACTCCTTAAAAAGAACACTATATTTACCTAGAGGCCTAATTAAATCAACGCTATAAATACCCTTAAATCTAAACTAATAACTTCTCCTGTAATCATTTTATTATTTTATAGCCTAAAAGCTAGGTTAGTAGTTATTAGTATAAATATAAGCCTACAAAGTTAAGGCATAATACTAAGTTAAATAATTAGTACCTAAAGGACTGTAGTAAGGTATAAAAATAGTATCTAAAGAGGCACTAAGTTAAAATATAACTTTAAAAAACTAAAATTAAAAGCAGTTTTAATAATATTAAAGAAGCTCTAAAACTATATTTATAGTATTAGATTTTTATTAAAAACTAATATATAAGTCTTAGTTACTTAGCTTAATAAAAAATCTTATAATCTTCCTAGTGCCCTAATTACTAAGTAAATTACTTAAATATATCTTTTTAACTTTAATGTTAAGTATATACTAGGAATAAAGAATATAGTAATAAATATACTATTACAAAAAGTACTAAGGCTATTTAATATTAAAGAATATAAAAGCCTTAATTAAGTTAAAGATTTTATTAACGCTAACTTCTACTTTATTTAACTACATAAATTATTTAAAAGATCTAAATTTAGTATTTTAAAGACCTTTTACTTATATTAACTCCTTAAAATATAACTTTACTTTAATTAGTACTAAACTAACTAAACAAAATAAATTATCTTTTATTTAAAAACACTATTACACCTAAATAAAATATTACTATATACTTTCAGGAAATTTAAAATAAAAGCTTAGTATTATTTTACTTAAAATAATTATTTATACTACTAACTAACAAAAAGATACCTGATCCCTAGACGCTTTATTAATAACCTAAAGATTTAAGAGAACCTAATCAAAAACATACATATCAAATCAAAACACTAAGGACATAATACAACATTCTATTAGCTTTTTATATCCTATATCTAGAAAGATATATACTAAAAAGTATAAGCCTAGCTTACATTATACCTATCCTATTAAAAGGCTTAATTAACCTAGATAAACAACTAGTATATTAATATAGTCCTAAAGGAATTACTATTTACAAAGATATCTATTAATATCTAGTAGATTAGTTCCTAGGCACTAATCAAAAGACATTATAATATAACAAGTTAGCTTAAAGCAAGGAGAGTAAGGACTATTACCTCTAATCAAGTTACCAACTTTATCTAGGAAGACTTTTTTTACTACCACAGTATCTATAAAAAAATAATTATTAACAATAAACCAAAAAACAAAAAGACTATAAACCACTTAAATAAAAAGTATAATATTAAAAAAAGAGTTATATTAGTATATAACTTAAAAGTAAACAAGGTTAATAAACAAGGCCATAAACCTATTACACACACTATCTTAACCTGGTTAAACAAAAAAAAAAGAGATTAAGAGAAAATTATACCTACTACACTATTTACAGACCAAACAATAGTCCACGCACCAACAAGCTACACACCTTTCTTCCTAACTACAGGATACAAAGCAATCACACTTATCGAAGAATCTACCTTGTACTAGATAGTTATAACAAGAGACTTTGACAAGAAGTATCTAGTAAGCCTGATCAGACTAAGGAGAACACACCAGAGTTCTTTAACACCTTTCCTAGGACTTTTAAGCCTATTAAAAAGACGCCTTCTTCAGTACCTTAAGACAACAATCTTACTAGTCTCTTTGGTTTAATACGCCCCCCTTCAGATACTAATACACCACAAGACCAGCCAGGCTTCTCTACTACACTAAACCCAGAAAATAATATAGTAAGGTTATCTCCTAAGCCTAATCAGGCTCAGGATATAAACAACAAAAAAGAGGTTAGTAATACTAAGTCTAAGGCTACTATAAAGCCTATGCTCTTATACTACCCCTTTAACTTTAAGTAATTATCTAATATAACTTCTATTATATATATAAAGACTAAAAGACAATAAAATACTTATAAAAAAACCCTATTTAATATATAAAAATAATACTATAAGCTAAAAGAGTATAAAGTTAAGTCTATTACTAACTATACTAAGAACAAATATATTAATATATTTAAAAACCCTTATAAAATAATAGTAGTATAATAGTACCTTTAATAGCTATTTCTATAACTTATAATTATACTTAGATAAAAGAGTTATAAGTAGTATAATTAGAAATAAAAGTAGAATACTAAGTTTAAAAAAAAATGTCTTAAGGCTAAGAGAAAAGTAGCTTATAATAAAGTAAATAGCTTAAGATACTCTTTTTATTACTACTAAAAGAATATTATAAGTCTAATTAGAAAAAATATAATAAAAATAAGTAGTTTTTGTTTTTATATATAATTTACTTTTATACTTTTATATTTTTCTTTTTTTAATATATTATATAAAAAAAAAACTAAAAAATAATTAAAAAAAAGGTAAAGTTTTATGTTTTTATTTTTCCTTTTATTAGCCTATAAACATAATTATAGGCCTAATTAGACATAATTAAGTAGAACCTTTTTAAGTATAAAAAAGGACTTTAGTTAAATACTATTATAAAAACAAGGTATTAATATCTAATTATTAAGTAAATAAATAAGCTTAATATCTTTAAATAAGTACTTAAATAAACATAAACAAATTCATTATTTTAATATTTAAATAACATATATAATAAGTAACTATTACTTTATTTCCTTAGGCCTAACTAGACCTTTAAAGTCTAAGAGAATATTCTTCTCTAAAGATCACAACATATATATATATACCACTTAGTAATAAAAGCAAATCCAAATAAACTATAAAACGTAAAGGATACACTTTTCTAGTTTGCTTATAGCCCTGATCAGGCCAAGGAAGACCTGAAAAGAGTAGTATCTTACGGTCTAAGCGTTAAGGTAATCACTTAGAGTAATTAGTCACTCCAGGTGCACTCGTGATAATACTGGGACCTTGGTGTTTGGTGTGGTTTGTGTGTTAACTGCCTACTTACTAGCTTCCTTTATCCTACGCAGTTTCACTAAGAGAATCAAAAGAGCTACCACTTTCCTTATTACCTTTATATACTTTATTATACTTCTTAAGTTAAGCTATATATACTATAATAGTATAAGTATATATAATAGCTTTTTTGTAGAAGTATTTATTTTTAAACATTAATATTATATAAAAAGCTTATAATATAAGTAAATATATATATATATAATAAAAAATAATAATATTTTAAATATATAGTTATTATTATTATAAATAAATAAATAAATAAAAAAGACCTTTTTATTAAGCAAAAAAAAAAATTTTTATTAAAAAAATATTTAATTTAATAATTAATTAATTAATTAAAAACTATTAATTTAATTAATTTATTTAAAAATAATAAAAAAAATAGTTTTTTTATTATTAATAACTAAATATAATATTATATAACTATTTCTTTTATATTTATTACTTTAAAAATAAATATTTATATTTTTATTTATTTTTTTAAAGTAATTCTTTTATATATAGCTAGTATTAAATATATAATAATTAAAATCTATTAATTTACCTAAAAGGGTATATTATAATACCTTTACGCGCATTATATAGCCTTATAAGATTTACGCCAGGCCTAGATTAACTATTAGTCCAGTCCTTTTATACAGATCCACCACATAGGATACATATTTATTCGTTTTAGACAAAGCAATCCTGCACATAGAAATCTAAGCAGTTTTCCTTATGTCTTTTCCACCCTAAGTGGTGACTCTACGACACAATGTAAATCAGTTCACAACCTGGAATATAAGTTATGGGCCGCCCCGCACAAGCGATACGTTATGACCATGGCAAATGGATTACCAATTGTACCATTTTCAACACTTCAGTAAAAAGATTCCTTAGTTATATCCTCGCAGATAGACTTCTTGCTCGGTTCTTGCTCTCTGTCCCAATTGGACTCGAAAAGCGAGCATTGCTGCAGCGGGCTGTATTTTGTGCAAATCCAAGTTACGCTAGGCGCATCCTGAGATCTACGCTAACACAGCGGACGCGCTAACCGAAACGGGAAAACTGCTATCGCACCGCACCCGCGGCCCCGGGAGATAACCGGCCGGTGGTCGGAGACACGCCGCTCGGAACCGTCTCATCATCCAATGTCAGTACACACCAGCCGAGCGACTTCCCATGAACCTTCATTTCACTCAGCTGCATCACCGGCTAGAACTCACAGAGCTAATTCGATTCTCACACAGCGTCGTCTAATTGACCCCCGTCCTCCCTCCCAGAACGCCCGCCCTCACCAATACATCACACGGTATCAATGGATCTCAAAATGTCCCCCACAGAAGACGACGACTTCATCCTAGTCTCCCACGCGGACACCCACCCATACCCCTTCACGGGGCCCTCCTCTCCGGAGTACCTGGACGAGATCTCCGCCATCGTCGCGGACCTCGCCGAGAGCCTCTGGCCCGTCAACAAGAAGATCCACGACAACCCGGAGCTCGGCTACCGCGAGTTCATTGCTCACGAAACGCTCACAACCTTCATGCGGGCTCAGCCTGGCTGGAAGGTCACGCCCTCGGCGTACGGCATGGAGACGGCGTGGGTCGCCGTGTGGGATAGCGGGAAGAAGGGGCCTGTGGTCTCGTTCAACGCCGAGATGGGTGAGTCCACAGAATCTTTCATTGCTCAACCTTTTGAACGAGACATGCCAAAAGTAGCCACAAACTGACACGCACAAGACTGCCTCCCTGGCATCGGTCACGCCTGCGGCCACAACCTCATCGCAACAGCCTCTCTCACGGGCGCCCTCGCCACCGCGATCCTCCTCTCGCGCCACCGTCTCCCCGGTAAGGTCGTCCTGTTCGGCACCCCCGCCGAAGAAGGCGGCGGCGGCAAGATTCGCCTCCTCAAAGCCGGCGCCTACGCCCAGCACGCCGTCGACCTCAACCTCATCTCCCACCCGGGCATCGTCGCCGACACGTCACTGATGCGCACCTCGGCCTACTCGTCCTTCCGCGTCGAATTCTTCGGTCTCGAGGCCCACGCCGCCGCGAACCCCTGGCTCGGCATCAACGCCCTCGACGCCCTCATCACATCGTACAACGCCATCTCTGTGCTGCGTCAGCAGACGATGCCGGGCGACGTCATACAGGGCAACATTACCCACGGCGGGACGCGGCCGAATATTATCCACGCCTATGCGGCGGGGCTGTTCGTCGTGCGCGCCAACACGCAGGCCCGCCTCAAGGAGCTCAAAGCAAAAGTAGAGAAGTGCTTCGCCGCGGGCGCCGAGGCCACCGGCGCGAAGCTGCAGATCACGCAGACTGGGAGTTACATGGACCACGTGCCCAACCGCGTCCTGGGGCGCTCTTACACGCGGTACTTCAACGCGCTCACGTCCCCCGGCGAGAGCGGAATCCCCCTGGACGAGGACATTGATGAGATCCGCGGGCGGTCGATGGCGAGCACGGATCAGGGGGACGTGAGCTACGCAATGCCGAGCTTGAGCGTAGGGTTCGCGATCCCGGCGGGAAAGACGGGGCAGGGGCCGCATAACCCCGAGTTCGCGGAGGCGGCGGGGACGAGGGTGGCGTTCGAGAGGTGTCTGAGGGTGGGTAAGGGGTTGGCCGGGGTGGCGATGGATGTCTTTACTAAGGAGGGCATGTTGAAGGAGGTTAAGAGGGCTTGGAGGAAGGATATGGGGAAATAAGAAGAGGGCGCTGATGTCGTGTACGATTTCGTGGAGTCAGGCGGCAGTGATGAAGTCAAAGATTTATAAGATGGGACAAATCTCTTTCAGAAGAGCATGCTCCCATTAGGATAATCTCCATATCGAGAAACGTCAAGACAAGTGCAAGGTATTAAATTCACTGCACAATTCAAACGATATGCCATGCCTCTACAAGGTCTCGTAGCGTTCCCATCAGGAAGTAATACGCGCCCAAACTCCACATCCCGGACATTCCATATCCATCTTAAAACGTTGCATGATAGTCTACCAACGACCCAGAGGTTCCTGCAAGCCTCGTTACATCCTCTTGGCACCCATCTCCTCGGACCCGAATTCATCCCAATCGTCCCTTCCAATCTTTCTGGAAATCCACACGCCCAATCCCGTAACGGTACAACTCATCAGGAACCACCCTTCAAACCACAAGTCCACAAATCGCGGCTCCAGCGCCCCCTCCAGCGCGTCGCCGACGGCGCTGCCCATCTCCCTCGGCAAGTTGCTCCGCAGCAGCAGCGCCGCACTGATGACGTACACGGCGGCGATCTGCCCGATAAGCAGCGCCAGGTTCGCCTGCGCCTGGTACAGCAAGCCCGGCATCCACTTGGAGAAGAGGTGGAACGTCTGAAGCACGCTGTTGGCGCTCGCCGCGAGGATAACGCCGGATAGCAGGAAGCTGATTTGCCGCGCCCACGCGATCTGGTCCAGCTTGGGGTCCCAGTGCCGTGCGAGCAGGCCCAGGAAGCGGTTGATCGGGTCCGAGGAGCTGAAGCTTGAGCTGGGGTAGTATGCCCTTCGCAGCATTGCAAGCATGGTGGCCAGGATTCGGTATAGGCAGTAGAGGCTGAAGATGTAGTGAGGCACGGCGAGCAGCTTCCCCAGCGATGTCGCGGCGCGGGCGTCGGCGGCCTGACGCGAGCGCATCAAGCCCAGCGACGAGTTGAGGTTTGCCTCCATCGTCTCCAGGCCCGCGATCTCCAAGCGCAGCGCGCGCATCTCGGCCTCGTCCCCACCCATACCGCGAACGGCGCCCAGCATCTTGCCCATGAACCCGCCAGAAGTGGAGGATGCCGCCTGCGCCTCGGACGCTTTGCGCTCCAGCGCTTGGAGACGGTGTCTTTTTGTCAACAGCATTTCGTTGGTAGCATCCAGCCCGGCCTCCTTTCTCGTGATGTCGGCTTCCGTGACGGGCCGCTTTCTCCGTTCCGAGAGGGCGCCTAGAGTATGCCAGGGACTTGATACGGCCGCGAAGCCGCTGAGCATCGCCATCAACGAAATCCCAATGACCCCGATCCTCTCAAGACAGGCACGCAAGATGCCTCCACCCGCAGTCGTCTTTTTGTCGAGGCCGACCAGACTTCCCAAACTCCAAAAGGCAAACAGCCACCCAAAAAACACCAACAACTGCATCCCCCAAGCAACCCGCGGAATTTTGCCTTTGCTGTTCCGCTGAAACTTCCACCCGAACCCCGAGATGACGCTCTGGATCTCCAGGAAGGGGATGATGCCAACGAGCAACACCAGGAGCGTAGGAACCGTGAAGCGCAACGCCACTCCCCTCGCGCGGGGGCTGACCAGATCCGAAATCTCGCTCAATATCAACTCACCCAGCACCGTGGCCAGCGCGATGGTTATCGAAAACACAATCGCCGCCGCCCTCCTCCTCGGGCTCTTCTGTCCGTGTTCGGCGTGCACCTGTCGCAGGCTGGGCGGCGCGTGCGACGGTAGGTAGTGGTCCTCGCCATCGTGGGCGTCGTGTACTCTCGCTAGCTTCGGAAAGATCTTTTGGCTCGCAACGGCGGCTACGGCGGTGAAAGTGGTTATGAAGGGCAGCAGCGAGAACAGCAGCCCGACTGTCGATGGGGCATTGGGGTCTACGGCAGCGCAAGCGGACTCGTCGCAAGAGGAGCTGAACCAGGGCATCTGGGGCGGCTTAGTGGGGCGGTTGCGCGCGATCGAAAAGACATGTGCGATTGGTGACTGAATAAAGCAAGATTCATTCTATGTCGGTAAGACTGCAGCGGTGAGAAAGAGTTCTTCAGCGAGGAATCATCAGTAAGGCTGGCTTCGACATGGTGTGGAATGTAGTTGTTGAGTTTGGACACCCATTGCAGTGCGACGGCTAAGTAGAGACATTCGTAACCTTCTCGTCGTGGTCTGTGACGGAGTCTAATCCAGCCACATATCTACCTGGCCTCAGCGCAAGCTTCAGCCACACCCGCCACATCCTGTCACTGGAAGCCCCGCAAGATGCGACGACGCGTCCAATGGCCATCATGGGAAGACTCACCGTATGAGCAAGCCATCCATGGGATCACATCTGCATGCAGGAACCATACTGCGCACTGAGACAGCTAGATTAAGGGGGGTTCTCGATATAGGCCTCTGTTTAATCCATGTCTTTATTGGGTATCAATACGTGAGCCCATGTAGAGGAAGTGCTGCTGTACTGTGTGCCTGGAGGAATTCCGGCCAAACCGACCGTTACCTTGTGCGACATCCTCCTAGCAAACTAAACCATGCCCACGCCGTCAACCAAACGCCCCTCTAGAGCACATATGCATACTGAAGACCTTTTGACTCGTGAAGTAACTCCTAAATTGACAGCCGTCTCTTCTCTAGAGCCTGCGAAATCAGCTGTTGCTGCTGTTTCGAGACACCTTTGAATCATCATCTTCGTCGTCGTCCGCTCCGCTAGCGCTAGAGTCAAGGCTGGATTTCCGGTTCTGTCTAAGAGCCGCCGCCTCGTTGGCTTCCATCTTGTGTAGCTTGTCCATTTGCGAAGAGTTGATGGCTTGGTCACCTGAGAAGACCTCAAACTCATCGTCTTCGTCATCGTCATCGTCTTCGTCACTGTCACCGGCGGCGCTCGGCGTTGCAGAAGATCTTCCGGGGTCCGCTGAGCTCGATTGCGAGGGGTTGGACGGCAACGAGAGGTGTCTGGGCTGCAGAAGAGCGTTCAAGTCCACCGGCTTAATGGTCGGGTCAAAGGCTGCCGGCAGACCCAGCGCCTTGGCCACTTGGTGGGCCTCTTCGTCTGCAGTGTTGTGAACCTCCACATTGTACATGCTGCTCCTCTCGCTATCGGCCTCATGCTTCCCCCTGTCGCCGACAGCATCCGCACGTACGTTTGGCGTTCGGAGTCGTTCTTCCTCTTACTTTTCTTCTTCTCCCGCTTCTCTGTTGGTCGGACGACGACGACAGGAACGGGTGAATACTGCAAACAGTATTTGGAGAAGGAGTTGCGCGTGTTGACCAGTCCCTGCAGACCGCCCAGCGACCTGCCTCTCGTCCCTACAATGAGCATAGCAGGTTGATGGATTTGGATCTGGCAGCCGGAAAATCTGTTAGCGGCTGTTCTACGGTGGTTGCCAAGATGTGCTGCCCAATGGGTTTGCTCACCAGTCGCTGAAATGTCGCATGCAGCTTGCCGCTCGCATACTCCAGCACGATTTTGATGGCGCGATTCAGGCCATTCCGCTTGACTATGCTGTCCATAACCCTTTGCGCCTCATCCTGGTAGGCCTTGTTGGTATCGGTCGCTCGGAGCTCCTTTTCGATCACGCGCACGCACACAACTTCGTCTCCGTCGTCGACAAGCTCGTCGAGCAGCCATTGCAATGCATAATCGGAATAGGCATGTTCGTCGACGCCTACCATGAACGTACGCGATCGTCGTTGCGCCTGATAACCCTTGTGTCGCACATCCAGCGTCAGCGAGAGCGTGTTGTTCTTAGTCGCCTCGCCCAGCGGCAGATTGTCGAATGCGACATGTGACTGGAACCTGTCCGGCACGGAGGTTTGAGTCAGCGTCGCCATCAAGTAATGTACGTAAGAGCAAGTGACAAAGTAGAGCCAGCAAATAATTAAACGGGGTTATTTGTGGTAGAGGTCTGAGAAGCGAAGTGGACAGGTGAGAATGTGACGAGACCACTGATCAGCGTCAGAAAAAAAGAGGTTGTGGTTTGGTAAGAGGCAGCCAGGAACAAGGAAAGCGGATGTACTGATTGCGACAACAATGACAGCGATTTCCCTCTTTCTGCGGGGACGTCACGGCGTCTCCAGGCTAAGGGTGGCTGTGGGGATAAGTCGATGAGCGCTTTAGGTGCCCTTTTGGTCTGGTTCGTCGCACGCCCGACGCCCGACGCCCAGCTCCCCTCCGTCTTCTTTGTGAAGAGTAGACGGAGAGGCACAGGTGCATGCAGCGGGGTAGTGGGGTAACAAAGCACGACACTGACGAATAGCAGCGCATGCCAGGGCAGAGAAGGTCGCTGTCGTGTGAGGTCTGGTAAAAAGTTGCATCCTGGCGGGAGTATGGATAAGACGCGATGAAAGTTCTGTGTGAACAAGAATATCCGAAACTGAGGTGTCGAAGAGCAACAGCAGAAGACACCCGGGTGATTCTTGTTGGCGAATGCAGGGACCCATCGCGGCGCCGCTGTCATTACGAAAGAACTGGAAGGGTGAGGTCGCCGTAATAGAGTAGTCAAATTCGTCGCTGGGCTGGCCGAGTCGTCAAACCCCACCAACTTCGGTCCAGACGCTGGAGTCAGCCCCCTCTAACTGTCCTCAGAAGCGGCGGCAGCTCCCCGCATTCGATGCGCATTTCCGTGGGCTCTGACAGCCGTCGAGTGGGTACGAGGCGGTGGCATCCGGAAAGTCGTCGTCCACTGGGAACCGGGCAAATTGGACGGCAAGAATGCTGCGCAGACAGCAGTCGGTTCGTGGGCTTGAGCCGAGCGTTCCGGCGGTTTCGAGGGCTGCATAATCGACGTATGTAAGGCGAATGCAGGGTAGCATATATAGTAGACTGACCCCCGGAAATACACTGCAGATGGCTCATCCGTTTTCCAGTGACGTACTTACGTCCCGTCCGCTTCGACACGTCAAGGCTGACATCCTACAAGATGCGGCGAAAGAGCCCACGAAACGCGGTATCCGCGGGATGAGTGTTTGGTAAGACGAAATGAGAGGCTAAAAGAACACAAAAAAACCTCAAAGGAATACAATGCGCTTACCTTTCAGGGGGAGGTGACGATGCCCGGATACGGTCCTTGTCTGTCTTCTTTTGGTTGCCCTGTGGCAGAGATGGATTCCGCAGCGGCGCAAAAGCCAGCGACGCTGCCGAGGACAGTCGAGGCCTTGCTCCATATGATTCTGTCCTTGACGATTCGGCTGAGAAGCTCCCTGTTGCGCTCTCGGGGGAAGGGCTCGCATAACTCGAAAGCGTCGTCACACGGCTCAACGGTTCTGCGTCGCCGCCGCTGATGTCCTCTTCTTTCCTCTGCGATTGCGACTCAATGGAAAAATAGTCCGATTTTGCCTTGTCCGCAGGCTGCGCCGGTGTCTTGGGTGATATGTCGGAGTCGGGACTTTGGACGTCAAGCATCGACCGGGGGCTGGGTCCCGACATTGTGTGTCGACGCTGTTGGGTGGTCTGTGGTTCCCACTGAGGTTTCGGGAAGGATATTCTTGGCGATGGTGGTGAAGGGCTGTCTTTGCTACCCTTACTCTTCTTCTTCTTCTTGCCGCTTTGCGGAAGCAGGAACACGCTGCGCCAGTTTTCTGATGGCCTCATTGGAGGCTCTGCAATTGCTGTGTAAATGGGGTCAGCATGGGGACGGCAGGCAGGCAGGCAGGCAGGCAACCAGTCGACACCTGCAGATTCTAGAATGAAGCAAGTGCAGCGGCAAAGAATTCGCCAAAAGAGACAGTGGAACGATGTGTCTTGGAAGGGGTTGAAAAGCAATGTGCAAAAGCCCAAAGGTGATTTGCGCGCGCAAGTGGCTAATGGTAGACTGACTATACCGTCTAAAGATGGCAAAGGGCGTCTGTCGACTCGGGATGGTGGTTCGAACGGGGGGCAGTCGGAGCGTATCGTCGATGGGGATGCTATGTAGACGGCACGAGAATGACGAGAGGTATGGATAGGTGTGCGAGAGGAAGTAGGAGCGGAGGGGAACCGGATGCTTATGGTTCTAGGTGCGTACTGGGAGAATGACTCTCGGTGCGAACAATGCTTATTCAGGAGTCCGCTGTGGGGTTCTTCGTGTGTGGTTCTCCCAAGTTGGATGTAGGAGAGAGGCCGATAGAAAGGTTATTTGGACCTGAAGAAATGCCCAGTAATGCTAGCGAGGCAATGTTTGCAAGCGCGGACGACGGGCTTGGAAAGACGGGACTCTCTTATGGCAAGAGATGCGGCGTAGGAGGCGGTTCTGCCAAGGCTTGCGGGCCTCACAAGGCACTGGGAAGGCCGAAGATGGTGTTGTTGTCGACGAAGCCGAGCAAACGGGGGGTGGTGGCGTAGCGGCGGCGCGAGTCGAGGGTCGAGAGTCTAGGTAATAGCAGACCGGGTCGGTGAGCAGGTGATGTTCTTAGTCGGCCGGGACAGCAGCTGCTGCTCCAACAGGCGTTGGAACTAGGGGGACGGCTGGGGTGACAAAGCTAGGCTTGGCTCGCGGATGGTGAGGAGGTATAGTAGACTGGCGAAGACTTGATGGACAATGTGCTCTAGTATAGCAGTTGGCATCCGTAGTCGCGGCGCGCGGCCTAGACAGCTGGATGTGGGGGAAGAATATGTGTAGCACGAACTGGGGGTGGAACGGCGAGGAGAGTCCAAGACAGTTTGGCCGAAAAGATGTCCCGGAGTGGTGTTGAAAAGTCTGGGCGTGCGTGGTTCAATGATGTTGGTTTTCGAATAGACTCCGAGGTTGATACGTACGGAGAGACAGACGACGAACTGAAGTCTGCGGAAGAGGACTTGCTCTGATCTAAGTAGGTACAGGCGCAGACCGGATGAATATTTTGTGTTTGCTGCGCAGCCGGACCCTCCCAGCCTTGGAGCTTGTGCAAATCTCGAGCGTGACGCACAGGTCAAGCCCGTCAAGGGAGAGTTGCAAGCAAACAATGGCAGCAAGCAGGGGTTCGTGGTGTCTGGCCTGGCAAGCCTGGGCCTAGGACTCTGGGTAGGTAGGTACACGGTGGAGGACGGTGGGCCATGGATGAGAGGGCTCTCGACAATGGACTCTACCTACACTACGTACCTAGGTAGGTAGACACGGGAAGGGGGAAGAGGGAGCTTGAGAGCACCGAGGAGGTGAGGGCGGAAGAGTGGAGGGGGAGGGGCCCGGAAGGCAAGTGCAGGTGCAGGCAGGTGCGGTGCGAGTGCAAGAGCAGGGTCGCAGGGCCGCAGGGTCGTGTGGTGGTGGTGGTGTCCAGCCGGAAAGAGCAGCAGGGGTGGCTGGCTAGAGACTGTTTGATCAGGTCCAGGTGAGACTTGCGTGTGCAGTGAGATTTGCGGGTGGATTATGTACCCCTCATGTCCGCTTCTGTCATTTCCTGTTTTTCCACCCCACTGCAATTGCGGGCAGTCTACAATAACTCCTAATGCCAGACGCAGTGTAAAAGAAACCATGAGGGGCCATTCTTAATGAATAACCGAACCTGAGTCTCATGTAGCTCAATAGGTACCCAAGGTAGGCAGGAGACAGGAGGGACGGAGGCGCCTGCCCGCCTCTATTCTTGACATACATCTCAGCTGAACTCAGGTCCTCAAGAAGGCAAGGGCGAGGTGAGTGGTGAAGTGGAGCTGGGTAGGAGCTAGGACCATTCCCCAAGGCACCAGCTGCACCAGCTGCGCTTTGCACCGGTCGCACCTGATGGCGTGTCGATGGGTTGCAGCTTCCATTGTGAAGGAATGCGGCGTGTTCCTTCCACTGCGGCAGATCAATTGTTAGGCTGCAACGCCATTGGTGGTGGTCTGCGGTCTCCCACTGTTACCCAGGATAACATTGGTTCATCGATCATGTACGAGCAACCGCATCTTAAATCTCCAATCTCTGTCACCCTCAGCATCCCTACAGCAAGACCTTGCAAACCAAAACTCTTCAACCATGTTCAGTTCACGGATCCTTTGGGTTCAGAGATGATAGACCCACGACCGCGGCCTCCGGGACACCTCCTCACCACAACACCAATGGAGCTGAGCCCAGCACCGAACCCAAAATAAACCTGAGAACACGATCCCAAACTCGCCAAGACCACCCCAAGTACCGAGCCCAATCACACTCGTCCTCTACGGCGCCTCTAGTGCCTCCGCCAGGCTCTAATTACACATCTTACAGCACTTGACTTTCAAGCTTCTCCGGTCCCGTCTTCAACCTGGCGCCATCATGGCCCATCCCTGTCGGCCATATTCTTCCTGCACTGCAGTATGTACGACGTACAGTAATTAGCTCTCGACTACATTAGGTACAGGCTTGCTCGACAACACACAACGGAAACGACTCGCCAGAATCGACTTCGAACGGACGAACAGGCCCGCGCCTTTGGCGCTCTCCTGTCACGTCGCCAGTCTCTCGCTTGCTGTTCGCTGTCGGCCGATGTCATAATCCTGCAATGACATGACATGACATGATCGCGCTCGCATATGGGTGTGCAACGTCTTCTCTGTCGGTGGCCCCCTCCAAGGGCACCATATGCTAACGTCGTCCTACCCTGACCTTCTGACGTGTATTGCTCCAGCGCAGCTCCATCCAGAGCTCCTATGCGACGGCACTACGCCACGGCCCCCCTCCTCTCTCTCCCGCGGTGCCTGGTTTAGGGCTCACAAAGCAGTAATTCAGACGCAGATTTCACCGCTGTGGCCCATCATTCTCGTCAGTCGTCCTCTGCAAATCATACCACAATCCCATCATTCTCGTCTCGGAAACCTCTGAACGCCCAAAAATCCCACCAACGTGGATGGCAGCACACGGCAGCACACGGCAGCATAGTGCGCCAAGCTGATTATCGCCGCCGGCGGGTCTCTCCAAGAGTACACTCATCATCAGCACCAGTCCCAAGCAGCAGTGAGGATTAGCTTGCACCAGCAACCAACCGTGCACTCTATTCATCGCGCGTTCGATGCACTTCCACGTCTGCCCAGCCGGCCTTCCGCGTGCTAAGATTACCGTCTTTGCGGCCTCTGCTCGACTCATCGCAACTTCACCCCTCCCTCTCGATCCTCTCAACCACTCGTCCACCTCCAACTAGGTCTTGGCAAACCACTCAAGCATGCCGGCCAATCTCTCCCGGTTTCCAGGATGGAGGGATAGGTGAAAGTCTGAGCCTGAGCAAGACTCGAGTCGGTGTGTGCGCGCGCGCCCTAAGCTGCTTTCTTACCTCCGACCTTGCTTCTTCTCATTTCTTCTCGTTAATGAGATGGCATGCCTCTTGTCACTGAGCCCCAGTCCGCAACTTCGCAACCCGGCCCATCCAATCCACACTTCATGCCCAACGCCAAGCATGCGCCAAGCTAGCCGTATCTTTTTGCCTTCTCTCACGAGCTCTGCGTCCCCTTTTCGACTTACGGATACGGCATGACCCAACGCCTGGCTTGATGGACCTGAACTGACTCCTATAACCTCACATCTCTTTCGGCGCGCGAATCTCTTGGCTAGGACCCATTCATGTCGCAGGGAGCCGTCTCGGTTGCTGGGGTACGGTTTTGAGGGGTCGTTTAGATCACGCTGCACGTCGCAGACAGGACAACGATGCAGCCCTGAGAAAGGAAATACACAGAGCCAAAAGGGATGCGCCTCCAAGACACCAAGCCGGCAGGCACAAGCGGTCGGGAAAAGAGGCAGCCCGTGCCAAGCAGAGGGACGACGACAATAACCGCCATCTCTTTTGCCTTTCCATCAGATTCGACAATTATCCAGTTGTAGTGATGCCATTCGCAGCCCACTGTCCCGCACAGCAATCCGTCCCGATCTTCCGGGGTTGCATTTGTCGTCGATAGTGCTCCGCCCTGGCTGTATCACCTCTCACCGACACAGTGGTCGTCATGACAAGACTCACCGCCGTGTGCGTCCTGCAGTCTCACCGAAGTAAAACGTCGCAAGGTTTCTTAGTAGCGCTCAATTGATGGACCAGCCATATCACTCGGCTGAGCCACGAGGCCGGCAGGGACCCGCGTTCGCTTGTCTGTCAAATCTCATCTCGTCTTTGTCGGACGGGAACGACAACCTTGACATTTGATGGGCAATTCGAAGCTCAAAAGAGTAGCTTGCTCCCGACGCCGCCGTCGATCAACGGAGCAGATAGCCGGAAGCCTACAAAGATAACGGCTCTCTTGAGGCGGGCTGATTGCCAACCAAGCAACGCGACTAGATCACGTCGTCGCCATGTAGGATGGACGCTTGCCCGTTTCTTACAGTCTCGCATGGCGACTATGCCCAGTAGCTGATGCGGTGTAAAGCCTATCGGCGTGCCTTGTCTGCGTCCAAGCCGGAGTCTCGCGGCATGCAATCAGCCATCTCGTCAGCGCGGCCTCTTACCTGCTTGCTTCGTGCAGCGTTCCTATCTGACATACAACCGACACCAACCAACACCAGCGCCTCATGCTGGCCAAGTCGAGAGATTGTGCACATCTGCAACCACATCTGATAATCCCGCGATCGCTTGCGTAAGTTCGAGCGTAATCATGTGTACGGACCGGCGTACATGCCGAAGTGCCTACAATAGCCGAGCGACAATTGCCCATATGCTATGTTGCCATGCTCTTCCGTCCCGACATCCCAGTAGCTGGCACGGAGACAGATACAGACTGGTCTAGAAATGACGACGTCAGGCGCAACCCGTTGTCTTTGCTACCAACTCTCTCCAGCACACGACCTCAAGACACCAAGAGGTCTTGGCAACCCTAAGGCTCGCAGAGAACAGCACACGCACGCACAGAGAGCGAAATCTGACTCGTAGAGACTCGGCCAAGACATTAGGAGTACAGCTTTAGGTCAACTAGAAAGAATAACGTAAGACACCAGCCAACGTTAAACAACTAGCCTCACGCAAGTGGCACATGCTCGCGGCCACCCACTTGGGATTAGGGAAGCATACTCCAGTTTCCCTGCGGACCATCCCGTAGCCATCCCGACCGACCGACCATTTCCCCGGTCTGCCGACGCCGCGACTACGGAGCCAACACCCGAAATGGAATCACCTCTCCCATGGGATCCGCTCAGACTTCGTCACTACTACCTAGAGCATCGAACGTGCGGGATTCCTTGAATTACTGGGGAATCCGACCTTCCCTCCTATCTGACCGATCTGGATCTGGAGTCAGCCTCACCTCCCCCTCCCGATCTGCCGCCATAAACTAGGATGGCCCCTCATCGTCTTGCGCTCCCCGCTCCAGGTCCGTTCTTGGGCAGCCCAGGTATTTTGCGAGTCGCTTAAGCCGCTTTGCCGCTCTTGACATCTCGCGGTGCAGCAGATTGTCTGCCAGTGTCACATCAATCTCCAGTCTTTTTATATGTCTCGGCCTTGGCATTCTAAGCCTTCTGCCCAACTGAATCATGCTTGTCTAAGCAGGCAACGTTGCAGCCTTTCCCTGACGAATGGACCTCGGGGTGTTCATTACAGTACTCTTGACCACGTTTCATTCTTCAGAACATGGCGGGGAAGAGGGTCAATCAAATGGTAAGCGGGGTGTGGGAATGTCAAAAGCAGAAAGGCGAGCGGCAATGTCCTTGCTCTGGTCTTTTTGCAAGAGGCAACAGGAACCTTGATCAATTGTTTTTGATTTGAACTTGTTAGGAATACCTGCCGGGATCTCCGAACCCGCCTAACGCGGGCGACTCGGGTCTCTAGACAAACGGCTGCTAGATTGCTTCCTCGGTCCCTGACACCTTTCAAACCCGTACTTCAGCTCTCGGCATCGGCATGTCTCCATCCCTACAGCAACAGCATGTCGCCTTGAAAGCTTTGGTTGGACATCGTACTTTGAATTCTAATTATTCCCTTTGGTTCACTTCATCCCGCCCCAGCCAACCAGGTCCAGTGTTCCAGGAAGCAAAGACGCCTGAACGCCGTAACAATGCGAGCATCCCTCTACCGGGCCCCCATTCTCTTCCCAAGTGTTCTTTTTTTTTGGTCCACTTCTCTCTCTCTGCCTCGAAACCCACTGGTATCGTCAAGCGGGCGAGGAGAGCATTCTTCCCCTTCGCTGACAGGTCTTTGGTAACTACACACACGCGGACATATGTGCCTTGCCAACATACGCCGAGTTTTGTCTTCAAACTCTTTTCCTTCCCTCGCGGCCAGCTGCTCGCCACCTTGCCTTCCTGGTTGTATAGACCCTAGTGCGCTACGATCGCTCAAGCGTACGTGCGGGACAGGTTACGGAGGTACCAGTCCACCAGCTTGCGGCCCACCTTGGCTTCCGAGATGTGAATGAGGTCCTGTACTGGGTTAGCAACGGGTTCGTGGAATGACTGAGCAGAGTGATAACTTACACCCTGCATGGCGTAGTCCAGGTCGCTAATGTTGACGAGATCGCCGTCGAGCAGGCTGGGGTGGTCGGTCCAGCGCAGCTGCTTGGTGCGCTGCTTGTTCACGAGGAGCCAGGAGCGGAGCTCATCGGGCTTCACCTCGAGGAAGCCGGCCAGCTTGTTGAGGTCCATGGTGGTGTACAGGCGAAGGTAGGACTTGACGGTGGGGCTCCACATGTTGATCTTGACCTCCTCCATGAAGACGGCCAAGTGGTGCTCGACGGGGTCGATGTTGGACTCGGGGTTCTCAAAGTCGGGGGGCACGGGGGAGATGAACTTGGGGCAGGCAGAGCGGAAGAGCTCCTCGAAAATGGGCAGGGACTCGGGGCCACCACGCTGGAGCTTGAGGAGCTGGTCACCGTACTTCTCACGCAGGGCCGAGTGGATGGTGTCGTCGAGACGGGTGGGGTGGAAGGCGACGCAGATGGCGATGAGGGCGTACATCTGGTCGTTCTTCTTGGTGATGGAGTCGTACTGGGCATTCTTCTGGAAGTTCTTGGTACGGGAGACGTAGACCAGGATGTGGCTGAACATCTTGATGGCATCGGCGTAGCGGTGCATCATCATGTAGGAGAAACCGACGTAGTAGTAGGTGGTGAAGTGGGCGGCCATGACGCGGGCGAACATGGCCTTCTTGTTGAGCTCGATGTCGTCGAGCGTCTTGAGGGCGAGGCTGAAGTCGCCAAGCAGGCAGTGAACACGCAGCAGGCCGATGATGGAGAAGTAGCCCAGCATGCGGTACAGGTTCTTGTTGCCGTACTCGCCGGCGACGGCCATGGGGTCCTCGTTACGGCGCATGGCGGCCAGCTGCTCGGTGATCTGGGAACGCTGGATGAGCGAGTAGAGGACGTTGAGGACCGAGTAGCAGCCCCAGGTGTTGGGGTTGTCCTTCAGGACCTGCATCTCCTCCTCGTTGTTGCCCTGGCGAGCGATGCGCATGCGGTACGAGGAGAAGGAGTTGAACTGGTAGATGAACTCGTCGATGACGTCCCAGGCCCAGTAGTACTACGACACACACGTTTGTTAGCTTTCCGTTTCCCCGTCACCTTGCGTGCACCGCGACGGCAACCATGGCAGAGGGCAGCGGCGAGGGGGAGGGAGGGGGACATACGGAGGGCGGCTCGAGGTCGACGGGACCCTCACTGTTCAGGATGAAGTGGAACAGACTGCAGTACGAGTCGTAGCTCTGGAACTTGACCTCGAGGGGCGCGGAGAAGTCGAGGGGCTGGGCGGCGGCGGCGAGGCGCGACTGGATGTCGTCCGTCTGCTGGGCCATGGTCAGGGAGTTGACCTGCTCGAGGTCCTCGCCGATGTTGTCCTCGTACTGGACCTGCTCCTTGTAGTCGTTGACAAGGGCCTCCTCCTCGACGTCGCTGTCGTCGTCGACGGCGCGGGCGGGCCGCTCTCCATTCTGGTAGCCGCTCATGATGGGTGGTCGGGTGTGTGTGCCGGATCTATTTCCCACTACGAAGGAAATAGAACACGAGAAGGGGAGAAATTGTCGGATCCGAAAGGGGACTGGGCGAGAGTCGTGATGTCGTCAACTTTGCTGTTGAGGACAGATGGGCGGTCGGTCGGTCGGGGGGGTCGGTCGAAGGAGGAAGTGGGTGGGGGGTTTCTCGACGAAAAATTTCCTCTATTCTCCTTTGAGGGGGCGCATTTGCTGAGGTATCGCAAAGTAAGAGGACCAGTGGTTTTTGCGATTAGGGTTCGGTTCTCCCGTGGTTTCCCGTTAGGCCGATATGCGCGGTAAGCATGGTGAATGCGTCTAGGCGGTGTTTTGGCGGGGAATCCTGTTCTCGTTATTTTTATTTTATTTTGTGATTTTTTTTCTGCGCGCCGCAGTCTCGATGCCGCCGCCCCCGTCTATTCTAAGGCTGTCTGTCGTGGCGGGGTAGAGACGCCGGGCCCGCTGAGGTAATTCGTCCACTCCCGAATCGACCGATCCCTCCCCTCCCCTCCCCCAAAGACCAACGACGCAAAAGACTTGGAAAACGGAAGGACCAAAGCTGCATAGATACATACACTATACAGAATTACTCATCGCTCATCGAGGCATCCAACTGCTTGGAGCTGAACTCGGGATCCAACCGCCCTCTCCCCTCGCATGCAACAAAGCTGGCAGCATAAGAAAGAGTCATTGGCATCCGTGCAAAACTTCTTACACAGGTGGCGAATCACAACGCTTCTTTTCTCTCTTTTCGAGCCCATCCGAGTTCCATTTTGAAAGCAGCCTATTAGTCACAAGCCAGGGCCCCAATTAGTTGCCGAGCCCATCATCATCATCGCCAGCGCCAACATCCATCTTTGCCTTGGAAAGCATCCCTCCACCATTGAGGCCTCACCTCAGCATTTGCGTTACAAGCCTCTAGGATTGTTAAACAGCAGCCACACATATATACACACAGGGCCTGCTTCCTCATTCACTCGGTTCTTTCATCCGGCATTTCTTTCTGTTCATAGATCTTTTTGATACCCCCCTTCACTTTCTTCATCACCCTTCCTCTCCACCACATAACCGTCCATCATGCCTGTCGTCACACCCGATAAGTTGGCTAGCCTGCAAAGGCATGCCGCTGATGTGCGAAATGCAAGTCGTCCCTCATCTCACATGTCTGCTCAACACCACTGACAGACTCCCCAGATTTGCATTCTGGCCCACGTCGACCATGGCAAGACGTCCCTAACAGACGCCCTGCTGGCCACAAACGGCATCATCTCCCCCAAGCTCGCCGGTAAGATCCGCTACCTCGATTCGCGGCCCGACGAGCAGCTGCGCGGCATCACCATGGAGTCCTCCGCCATCTCCCTCTATTTCTCCATGCTGCGCCGCTCCGCCCCGGACGCTGAGCCGGAGGCCAAGGAGTACCTCATCAACCTCATCGACTCGCCCGGCCACATTGACTTTAGCAGCGAGGTCTCGACCGCCTCACGCCTGTGCGACGGCGCCGTGGTTCTCGTTGACGCCGTCGAGGGCGTTTGCAGTCAGACTGTTACCGTCTTGAGACAGACGTGGACTGAGAAGCTCAAGCCCCTGCTCGTCATCAACAAGATCGACCGTCTGGTCACCGAGCTCAAGATGTCCCCCGCGGAGGCCTACACCCACCTCAGCAAGATTCTTGAGCAGGTCAACGCTGTGCTGGGCAGTTTCTTCCAGGGCGAGCGCATGGAGGAAGACCTCAACTGGCGCGAGCGGATGGAAGAGCGCGTGCAGGCTGCGGCCGCGAGAGAGGCGGGCACGGACTCGACGACGGACTCGGGCGAGCTCCAGTTCCAGGAGAGGGACGACGAGGACCTCTACTTTGCGCCGGAGAAGAACAACGTCATTTTCAGCAGCGCCATCGATGGGTGGGCCTGTACCGTAAGACAGTTTGCCAGCTTGTACGAGAAGAAGCTCGGCATCAAGAGGGGCACGATGGAAAAGGTGCTCTGGGGCAGTTACTACCTCGACCCCAAGACCAAGAAGATCCTGGGCCAGAAGCATCTCAAAGGGAGGAACCTGAAGCCCATGTTCGTCCAGCTGGTGCTAGAGCCCATCTGGACCGTCTACCAGGCTACCGTTGGCGGCGACCAGGGCAGGGGCGATCCAGCGTTGCTGGAGAAGATCACCAAGTCCCTCGGGCTCACCATCCCTCCTCACATCATGCGCTCCAGGGATCCCCGACTGCTCCTGACGACCGTCTTCTCGTCTTGGCTCCCGCTGTCGACGGCAATGCTGGTCTCCGTCATCGAGTCCCTCCCGTCACCGCCGGCAGCGCAAGCCGAGAGACTGCCGGAGATGCTCGAGCACGTCCCCGGCGCAGACTCTGTCGACGAGAAGATCAAGGACGCCATGGTGTCTTTCAAGACGTCTCTGTCGGACCCCGTCGTCGCATACGTCAGCAAGATGGTCTCCGTCCCCGAGAGCGAGCTGCCCCACAACAAACGCAAGCCCGGCCAGCTGACGGCCGACGAGGCGAGAGAGCTTGCACGGAAGAAGCGGGCGGAGGCTGCTCGCGCCCAGGCCGCGGCGCCGTCCGGCGCCAACGGCGTCAACGACCTTACAACGGCCCTCGAGGAGGTCAACCTGGATGACTACGCCCCCGAACACGAAGAAAAGGAGATCGACCCCGAGCACCTCATCGGCTTCGCGCGCATGTACTCCGGCACCCTCTCTGTCGGCGACTCCCTCTGGGTCATCCCGCCCAAGTGGTCCCCCGCGAACCCCAACGCCAGCCCGCAGCCGAAGCAAATCACCGTCACCGCACTCTACATGCTCATGGGCCGCAACCTCGAGGCCCTTGAGTCGGTTCCCGCGGGCGTCGTCTTCGGCATCGGCGGCCTCGAGGGCCACCTCCTCAAGAACGGCACCCTGTGCAGCCGGCTCGAGGGCGCCGTCAACCTCGCGGGCGTCGCCAACCTCGGCAAGCCCATCGTCCGTGTCGCCCTCGAGCCCGTCAACCCGGCCGATCTCGACAAGATGATCCACGGCCTGCAGCTGCTCGTCCAGTCGGACCCCTGCGCCGAGTACGAGCAGTTCGGCAGCGGCGAGCACGTCCTCTTGACCGCCGGCGAGCTGCACCTCGAGCGTTGCCTGACAGACATCAAGGAGCGCTTCGCCCGCTGCGACATCCAGGCCGGCGCCCCCATCGTCCCCTACCGCGAGACCATCGTCCGCGCCGAGGAGATGCGGCCTCCGGCCAACAAGGAACTCGGCCGCGGTGTCGTCGTCGGCACCACGTCCTCCAAGCAGGTCTCCATCCGCCTCCAGGTCCGCCCATTGCCCGCCGACGTCACCGACTTCCTCCTCAAGAACGGCGACGTCATCAAGCGCATGTACTCGGACCGTACCGCCGCCTCGCAGGGCGACACAACCGAGGGGCCTTCAGAGTCCGCCACCGCCGGCGCCAACGGCGAGGAAAAGATTGATATCGACACGGACCTAACGGCCGCCAAGATCATGTCCCTCGACGACTTCAAGCGCGACCTCCAGTCCGCCCTCGAGGCCACCCGCGGCGGCCGCGAGTACTTCAAGTCCGCCGTCGACCGCATCGCCGCCTTCGGCCCCCGCCGCACGGGGCCCAACCTCCTCATCGACTCGACCAAGGAGGGCCTCCTCACGAAGCTCTTCTCCCCGGCCGCCGAGCGCGAAGGCTCCGCCGCGCCTCAAGCCGACGAGGTCCTCCGCCCCGTCCACGTCGCCGACAAGATCCCCTACGCCTTCCAGCTCGCCACGGCCCAGGGCCCCCTCTGCCACGAGCCCGTGCAGGGCATCGCCGTTTTCATCGAGGACGTCGTCATTAACACCACCGAGGACGAGCCCACGGCCCCGACGGCGCGCGACCGCCTCCCCCGCCTCACGGGCGAGGTCATCAAGACCTTCACCTCCTCCCTGCGCGCCGGTATGCTCGACTGGTCCCCGCGCCTGATGCTGGCCATGTACAGCGTCGAGATCCAGGCCTCCACCGAGGTCCTCGGCCGCGTCTATGACGTGCTCACCCGCCGCCGGGGCCGTGTCCTGTCCGAGGCCATGAAGGAGGGCACCCCCTTCTTCACGATCCAGTCCGTGCTCCCCGTCGCCGAGTCCTTCGGCTTCGCCGACGAGATGCGCAAGCGCACCAGCGGCGCCGCGCAGCCGCAGCTCATCTTTGCCGGCTACGAGGTCCTCGACGAGGACCCCTTCTGGGTGCCCTTCACCGAGGACGACCTCGAGGACCTTGGTGAGCTGGCCGACAAGGAGAATGTCGCCAAGAGGTACATGGACGGCGTGCGGAGGAAAAAGGGGTTGTTGGTTGAGGGGAGAAATGTGGCGAGAGACGCGGAGAAGCAGAAGACGCTCAAGAGGTAGTAATGTTCATGGAAAGCATATGGCAAACGGTGATTAGAAAAGTAGAACTTGTCTGGCGGGGAATTGAAGCCATCAACTTCAACGCAGAGAACGCCACTTGACAGTGTTAGAATTGATCCTGATACAGCATTGCATAAGGATGATTGATGGGCATGAATCACGGCTAACCATACTGTCGCGCACTGCTCGTCGTGAGGCGCAAAAGGATATTTGTACTTTTTTGTTTCATTCCCTCGCCTATCATCTATTTTGCAATTCACGAAGGGTGCCCCCATCCCCGAATCACCCACAATCGCTGACACATTGACGATACCCCTCCATTCGTTTCATTTTCCGGTCCATCGCCAGAGCTTTTGCTCGCCGTCATTCTTTGGTATCGGAGGGAAAGAAAGAAAAGAGGAGAAAAGCATCATCATCTTAAAAAAAGCCACAAAAAACACAAAAGGGTCTTGATGAAGAGGGGGGCCGGGGCAAGAAATCATCAGTCGTAGAACAACCGGCCATACATCTTAAGCAAGTCCACAACTCTGGGAGCGAGTCATCTATCGTTGCACTGCGCGTCGCGTTCCGCCTAAAAGAGGTGATGGGAGAGAGTCGAGAGCGGTAGTAGTAGTAGTAGAACTTTGGTTGAGATTTGTGAATTCCCTATGCTCCCTTTTTGTCACTGGGGGCAGAAAATCCTGGCGGATAGGTTTCGCTGATCTTTGAGACCTTTTCGGACGAGGTTCCGAGTACAGCAGAGGGGAGAGAACAAAGGAAAAGAGAGAATAATGAGAAAGAAAGAAAAAACATGGTCATGAGCCCCTTTCCTTCCAACATCCATGAGCCGCCAACTTTTTTAGTAACCACTTCGCAAACTCCGATGAATGCGTGCGAGAATGCGCGCCTTCTCCAGTCGTTGAGAGTCGAGGAGACTTTGTCTTGCCCACAATGGCAAGCCATCGCGAGCAAGGACCGCAGAGGGTGCCGAGTAAAAGGAAAGTGTTTTCCTTCAGCCGATCCGTAATGAGCCAGTTTTAGTTCGTTGGAGGAAAGCAAAGTATCGGGAAAGAGGAGAATCATGCCCTTCAAGCCCCAAGTAAGCGGTTCGTGGCGTAAAGTCGTTCGTCACAATCGTATTCGGAGTCATCTGGGTATATGTGACGAGAAACATCGTCTAGGCCGCGCATGCAGACACGCGGGCGCATCTTCTCAGCGACAAATGCGGAGTCAACCCCACTGGGTCCGGCTGGACGCTGAAGGATGATCGGACTGTGCACGCCCGCCCTCTAGGCAGCGCCCCGGGGGCCAACGTTGCGACGGCCCTTGTTAGGGACTGTGGTCCAACCGTCGTCTTCGACAGGGGCAGCAGAGTCGGCAGGCTCAGCGGACGGGGAAGCGGGCGACTGCTTCTCGGCGGCAGGGCCGTTAGAGCGAGCGGGGCGACCTTCACGACCACCCTCACGGCCACCCTCGCGGCCACCTTCGCGACCTTCAAATCGGCCGCCGCCACGGGCTCCACCACGACCACCGCGAGGTCCACCCGGGGGGCCACGAGGGGCACCAGCTGATCTCCAGCTGTTGGCCTCGGCAGCGCGAGACTTGGGTGCCTCCTTGGGTTCTCTGGGCTCTCTGGGCTCCCTGGGCTCCCTGGGCTCCCTAGATCGGATGGGCACCTTCTGCTCGTCGGAGCCGCTGGTCTCCTTGGGGGCCTCGCCTTCCTGAGGAGCGTCCTCCTTGGGGGCCTCCTCAGCCTCCTTGCTCTCGCCATTAGCCGCGGCAGCGGCCTCTTGCGCAGCCTTCTCCTCAGCCTCCTTGGCGGCAGCCTCCTTGGCGAGACGGCGCTCCTCCTTGGCCTTCTCCTCGGCCTCACGCTTCTCCTTCAGCTGTTGCTGCTTCTTTTCCTCAATCAGACGCTCCTTCGCGGCAGTGTCAATGGGACGAGCGGCACCGAAGGGGCTGGCCTTGGAGTCATTGCCAGAGGGGGACAGTACGTCGGGAGCCTCGGAGACGGTACGCTTGGCCAGGTTTAACTTGGGGCGGCCGACGGGGGCGGCAGGAGCGGCGGCAGGAGAAGAGGGGGCCTCGCTGCCGTCGCGAGACTGGCTGCCGGACTTGCCAGCAGCGTCGGGGCGCATGTTGGATCTCCACTGGTTGTCCTTCTCGGCAGCAGTGGGGACGCGCTCAGGGCGGGGAGGGCGAGAGTCCTGACGGGGGGCCTGACCTTCACCCCAGGCGGCGGGAGACTGACGACGGTCACGGAACTCACGGGGTCCGTCGTTGGTACGAGGGCGGCTGCCTTCGCGGGAGCCAGTCTCCTTGGGAGCAACGGGAGAAAGGGGACCTCTACGCTCCCAGTTGCCGAAGTCACGGACCTTGCCGTCATCCTCGCGGGGCTCGCGAGGCTCACGAGGTCCACGGCGCTCGCCAAAGTCGGAGGGGCGACGGTCGTTGCCACCACGTCCGGGCAAGTCGGGAAGGGGACCCTTACGGGACCAGTCGCTGAAGTCGCGGCTGGATTCACCGCCACGGTCACCGCTGCGGGCTGTTGTCATGTCAGCTGTTGTAATAACACCTGTTCAACGAGGACACTTACGAGGGTCAGCAATCTTGATTCTGATAGCACGCCCCTGGAAGGTCTGGCCATCCAGAGTCAGAGCCTGCTTCAGTCCCTCGAGGTCCTTGAACTCGGCGTAAGCGAAACCCTTGGGGCGCTGCTGCTCGCGGTCCTCAATGATGCGGACGCTGATGATGTCGCAACCCTCAAAGAACTCGTTGACAGTCTCCTCGGTAGCATCGTACGACAAGTTGCCCAGGTGGGCAGTGTAAGGGGGTCTCTCGGGAAGCTTCTGGGGAAGGTTTTCGCGGATGGAAGAGTAGCCGCCGTAGTCTCCTGTAGAAAGGTAAGTGATATGCCAACAACGTCCGTCTTGATTGTCAACTCACTTCGCTCAGAACGGTCGCCGCCGCCGCCGCCGCCGCTACCCCAGCCACCTTGGCTGGGACGGTAGCCAGCGCGCTCGGGGGCGGGCAGAGCCTGAGTGCCTGCAAACACATGTCAGCGGAAAGGATCATTCGGGTGCGATGCTGAACCGTGGAGCTATTGCATACCGGCTATAGATGAGTTAGCAAAAGTTCATGAACAAAAGCTTAGTAATGGCAGGTACTCACTGAACGTATCCTCGACCTCATCAGCCCATGATCCTCCGTAGCCTGCCAGGTGTCAGTCGATGTCTACAATATGCGTAATAAAACGGTCGGTCAGGTAGAGGGCCGACTGAACGGCAGTCGGGGGTCTACAGGGAGACTGTTGTCGGAGGGGGGTTGCGACTGACTTGAGTCCTGGAGGAAATCGCCAAGCGCCATCTTCACCTGCTCCTTCTTCTTGGGCGCTATGATGACACGGTTAGTCTTGGGCCAGCTTCGAGGCGACGCAGTACTCTGCGGCACGGGGTCGACCGGTTACGAACCCATGATTGCGGTGTTGAGGCGGCTTCGCGCGTCGAATGTGATCGATGCGCGATGCGGGGAGTTCGTAGGGAAGCCGAACGGTGCGGCTATTCGCTAAGGGTGCGGAGAGCGAAGGGACGAGGTTGGGTCTCCGAGGGATATTTCGTAGGGTGAGATGTCGCCTTTGCGAAGGGGAAATCTCGTGCACCGGAGTGGGAAGTTGTCGGTTGGCGATACGTCAGAGGGTATGCGGTAGACTTGATGGCCCAGCTTGCGGTGATTTGCTGGGGCTGGAGTCTTTGGAGGAAAGGTCGAAGTTTTACCCGCGCAGAGCAAGAGAGGCAGAAGGGTGATTGAAAGTTTGTGAGGGTTGGATAATTTTCCAGGAGTGGGAGGCGCTAGCCCCGCCACGGCCTAGCCTGGTTTTTTCTACCTAGCGCCCCGCCAAAGACGCTCGGGCCAGATGTGCCGGGAAAACCCGTGATTGAACAATCCCATTTTTGGAGAGGGGCTTCCAGAGACCACACCGGCCAAATGCTCACTGGCACTTGTGGTGACTTCACCTGGGCACTCAGTATTCAGCGCCTCGTCAGCGGCTGGCCCCTCCCCTCCCAACCCCTCCCACGCTCAGCGTCCCGCCCCCCATACGAGTACGTACCGCAGCAACACGACCCTCCCTTTCTCACTGAGATAGAAGTCCAAGGTCATCAGCAGAAAAAAAAAGACGGGTGGATGATGTTTCGACACCCCACCTTCCATGCATCTACCAGGTATGCACGTTTTGAAACTGCACGAAACACATTTCATATGCAACAGCACTTCGCTTGTTTGTTCTAGCCCCGATTGATGCATGTACTGCCTTGAGGAAAGCTTCCCAACTGCATCTGTATAGCCTCAGCCGCTATTCCGATACTCGAACGACATCTCGGCGCACCCTGCCGCTACGTTTACAATGGCAGACGATGCGAGAGACGGCACAGCAGAGCAGCAGGGACGGCCCCGCCGAGGCCTGTTCCCGCCTGGTTTGGTTGACCTCATGGGTCCGCCCCTGAAAGTTGGCGCCTTGACTGGTGAGTGAGATATCGGAGAAAACGTTCTTAGACTTGCCATTCAGGGGTCACTTCAACTGTTATGCTTCGGAAGATCACATTACTGACGCATCTCCGACAGGCACCATCGGCATGTTCAGCGGCATCGCAGCCGGCATTGTCCGCGACTCTACCCCAGCTCTGTTCGCCCTGGCGTCCGGTATTCAATGGTTTGCCCTCGGCTCAAGTTATTGGCGTAAGTGGCCTTGCGATCTCATCATGCAGGATAGAGTGCTGACCTTTCTTTTTGCCAGTCTCAAGGACTGTGGTGATGGGCGCGTGGGGTGGCGAAGGGAAGCTCTCCAATTCCTCCAAGACCCAAGCAAGTGCTATCGCGGGAGGTACGGCAGGCATGGTCGGAGGTTTGATCCGTAAGTCTCTTGTTCTGATGGATGTTCACCAGCTCTAACTCCCTGCAGGCGGCCCGAAAAACATCATCCCTGGAGTGATTGTCTTTTCGCTCATTGGAGGAACCGGGCAGGCAGTCTACAACGGCATTCAGGACCGGCCCGAGGTCACAGAGAAGAAGAAGAGCTTCTTCGAGTCAAGCTGGAGCCCTCTCAAGAAGCTTTCGGATGACGAATACCGCGAGATGATTGACGAGAAGATGCTCAAAATCGATGCCGAGATCGCTCTCATTGACGATAAGATTGCCGAGCTGCGCGCAGCAAAGGAGGCTAACCCTCCGCCGCCTCGCCAGGAAGTAACGCAGCCCCCGGCTTCAAGGAGCTAATATGGCCAATGTTCATCCCCATGTATAAGATTTGTCAACACTGTAATATTATCATGTACCAACAAGCACATATTGCACTTCAGGACCAGTGGTGTTTTTCTGGTTGCCTCTTGGTTCAAGTCACACCTGCCCTCTCTTCAAAATCAGCACCGGCGATGTAGACCCGTCATCTCCCTTTTCCTTCTCTGACTTTGTATAACTGAAGGATCGGCGTTGGCTGGTTCAGAATCAAGACGCTGCCTGCCTGTAGGGCAAGCATCGTCTAACCGATAGTTGTTCTTGACGCCACATTCAAGTTGGTGTTGTTTGGCCAGGCATACATATGGACGTCTCTTTTTGGTGACGCCTGCAGCGTGCTCTGGGCTGACTCCATCCATGCTGAGACTCTCAACACTGCCGACGGATTGGCAGCCCCCTTTAATGTGCTCTCATCAGACTGCAACACTGCCGTCACGACGAACCGCCCTGCAGGCGGCTAATCAACTCCTCAACCCTACGTTTTGGATAGGACGTTTTGGGAGTCGGGCCATCAGGTAACTCGGCCAGTGAACATGGCCTACTATGGGTTCGGTATCTCCATCGTCAGTATGCCCCTGCTGTATGGCCAGGGAAGTCGAGCGTATGAAAGACTTTTAAAGGAGATTGTAAATATCTTGACAGGCCAGGAATTTGTTTGCCTGGAATTGGATGTAAAAATGTTTTCCCTCTATGACGACTACTGGATGCCCCTTCTAGTGCCGGATTCATCTGCTTTCTGGGCATGTCGAAATGTCACCCAGGCTGATATGGATGTAGGCGAGCCGACAGTGTGAGAAAGAGACTTCGCTTGACGAACTTGAGCCTTACCATCGCTCCCGTTCATGCCCACAGCTTCAATGTATACTCACTAGAGTGTTCTCCTTTGCCTGCTTGAGCGTTTTCAAAACGAAGAGCATTTCTTCTGCGTGCCTTTAGATATGACGCTATAAGAATCGGTATTCGTAAGGCACACAGGTGGGATTCTGAGCACGACTTCATTTTAATGTTGTTATGCCCCTACGCAAGGGACAACCGTCTGCTTTCCAAGGCATTCCAAGAATCGCAAATGCCACGCGCAAGATTCCACTCCAATGCTATGCTCCAGGAAACGCGTAATTCCCAGCGTCTTATTCCAGCTTCTTCCCACCAAGCAGGCCTCAAGAACTTGGCATATTGGCCGTAACCTCACGACGGCAAAGCAGTGCACCCAAGTACGAATTCAATCAAAAACACAAAACAGAAACGATCACAAGAAGCATCGAAAACGGGCACTGCGAACGCTTCTGCATACACATCTGCACCGTCGAAACTGGTGCTCGTAACCTCTTCGTCTTGCTTTGGATGTTGGGTCCGAAACCGAGAAGGGGTCTTGAGACCCGCAACTGCGTGGAAAAATACATCTGTTTTCCACTCCGCGCCTCGAGCGGGAAGAGATATTGTCCAGGGCGCTAACTGACTTCGCCGTCTCCAAGCAACGTTCCACCAAAGCTTCGTGTGCCTGATTGACGGTCAAAGTTGACGAAATAGTGTTCCTTAAAAGTAGCTACAGGGATGTTGTGCCGCCCTGTTTCTTCGTGGAAGTCAACTAGTGAGTGCAAAGGGTATCGGACTTGCTGTGATCTTCGGCTAGCGGCTCACGCAAGAGGACAATGATACATGATGATACCGTTGGTACTGAAACATGAATCGTCGATCTGTAGGTTCACAACGTGGTTTACAGTCAAACTCTCAGTTCCCCTCGCGTATGCGAATGGCAATAGAAGGCGCCTATGGGGGACCTCAGCGGATGGAAGAGGAGGTGGCTGACACGTCTACATGGTTCACTGGTTCAGGCAGTCAAAGACACGGACTTCAACCAGTTTGAACCTGGCACAGGCACCCCCCAGACAGGCAGGTACCCCAGCACTCGGGTGATGACCAGCATGAGCTTGTGAATCACGATGAGGCTGCGGGCGGTTTGACTATAGAACAGGCGGGAGGGACCGACCTTCTCCTGACCCCTGCGCGTATCCATGCCCCTTGCCCGGCTTATCTCGCTCACCAAGACAATATCTTAGCGGTTTACCCATGGTGCTGGGGGCCAGGAAGTTGGATGTGATCGATCCGAAGCCATGGACGAGACGATGGGAGGGTCGGGGGACAATACCTACTTGGGGAGCGAAGAGGCGCTTGCTGCACGTGCTAGATCCCTAGAGCAGCCCTAGCTTCGGCGCTGCAGCGTCCCATCCAATGCGCGAACGCATTGAGTAAAGGGAGCACGGTCCCCCTTTAGTGCAAAGTGATGCAAGTAATTGTTGAATGATGAATCCCCAATCCCGACGAGAGCTATGTTGCGGAAAGGGAGGAAGGTCAGGTACGTACTGCACTAACTGGGAGCTCAGCCAGGTGAAGGGCTAGCTGTGGACACCTGGCAGCCGGAACACCCCCATATTTGGATCGGTGGGCGGCCAATGGGAAGCGACGATGGGCGGAAGTGGCCGAGCATTCCATCCCCCCGGGGTGGGAATTATTTCGAGAGTGATGGAATGCCATGCGTTGGTGCCGGGCCTGGAACGGCTGGCTATTGGGCGGGCATCGGCCAAGTGTACTCTTTCGCCGAGAGAGCCATGACGACGGTACTTGTGATCGGTGATGACCCAGGCCAGGGGGTGTACTTCCCAATGGTGATTGTCATTTCCACCTGCGAAATTCCTCAAGTGCCCTGTTCCTAGCATCCGCCGCTCCGTCCCTTTAGCAGTCCCAAGCCGAGCCCACGATTCTCTCCCGTACATCCTTCCTTGTCCTTATTCTGTTTAGGCCATGTCTTACAAATCAATATTCTTGTCTCTCTAGGATACTAATTCTTGTTATTGTTGAAACGAGCCCAAAGAAAATGGCCGTGTGTTGTTGGCTGGATTAGCAACCTGCCTTCCAACGCCGTTATCTTTCATAAACCATCAGACTACCAGTAGACGCCTTTCACCCTCTCTGCCTTTATCTGAGCTATCCGAATATCCGACCATCCAACCAATACCATTCTGCGTACACACAAAAACGCCAAGCAACCCCGTACGGTAGTAACCTTACCAAATACTCCCCTCTGCCCAGGATCAGGAGCGGACAGCAGCACCAAAGAGCAGCAGTAGTTGCAGGGTTCCGTATGGGAAGCCGCCTCGTGCCGAGAAACCAGCAATAGAGAACAGACTCCAGACGGACAAGGGCTTAGACGAACGACGACGTCCTCTCACATTTCGCCAATTCCTGTTGGAGCTGCGTCACTCTTCTGCAAGAGCTGCACCTCCGATCCGCCAGCCGTTTTTCTGCGAAATCCTCCACGCACAACTACGATCAACCGCCCGTCCACACACTTGTCTCCCGGTCTCCCCGTCCGTCCCTTTGCCCCAACGGAACGCATACTCCGCACCGCACCGCATCGCCGCCATTCTCCTCAAACCACCCACCACACTATCGCCATCACGACGCTCGATCCCATAAGTCACGAGTGTATTCGTCTCTCCCTTTCGGCCGACCGACCAAGAGATCCGATCGCCATCTCGCCCGCTTTCGCCCTACACTGCTCCTACGAACCCCCCACGCGACACTTTTTCCAAACCCTTTCGACCAGCCACTGGCGCTAGTAATACATACCTCGTCGACTCTGTACCGCGTGGGCGCCGAACTCTGCTGCACCAAGCCGAGTATACACCACTTTGACAATCATCCGCTCGCAGACACACCCAAGGACCGATTTTCGACGACATGGCGCGCTCGGATCGTTGGAAGCGGAAGTAAACGTGCGGGATACCACAGAGATCCGGGGATCTCTCTCAGGCAAGTCGCCCTACCTTGCCTCGCCTCTGGTTCGCCAGCTCGGGTGTACTCTTTTCTTGTCCACCCTATCCGGAGAGCTGCTGGACTAACGTCGTGCTGCTGGTGGTGGTACAGATAGCGAAGCGAGCCATCGATCGCGCGAGCTGTTTGCCGGCTCACTATGGCTCTGCTCAACCCGACCTTCATCTTCGGCGTCGTCGTCCTCCTCTACCTGTCCTCCTTTATCCTCTTCGCTGTCGTCCGAATCCTTACAGGCGTATCGATACAAAGAATAGGCTACTTCTCCCTCCGTCGGCTCGCATACACACCACGGGATGGATTCAAGATTGAGGTTCGCGGCTTGGGGCTCAACGTCCACCGCCCGACCTTTGCCCAGCCTACATGGCTGAGTGTTGTCATCAGCGAGCTGACCGTCACGGTCGACATTGTCGAGCTCGAAGGGAAGAAGAGCGAGGATAGCTCCACCGATTCAGACAGCACCGATGCGGAGGAAGAGACCGAGGCCCAGGCGACTGAGCAACCCAAGGTGCCATTACTACGGCGGAATGGCGGCTCTCCGCCTCGAAGTGAGACGTGGAGACATCTGATGAAGCTGAAGGACCGGATGAAGAGGGCGCACCGCAAGCTTAACTGGCTGCGTATGGTCGACGTCGTCGCCAGCAATTCCACAATCAAGGTTGTCGACGTGGGCGACGTGCAGTTTGGGAGCTTGACCGTCGCCGTCGACACGCGACGCAAGATGGTGGACCGCGCACGCTTCTTCTTCCAGTCTCGGACCGACAGGAACAAGCAGAAGCAGCGTCAGGCGGAGTGGATAATGACATTGCGCAGCGTTCTCTTCACTCCAGAGGGCAAGGAATCGCTCGAAATCCTTGACAACGCGACGCTAAACATCCATGGATTTTTGTACGAAGCCTTGGACGGACTGAGAGATGCTGCAATCGCCCTCAAGCTGGGCCGTGTTCATATACCTTACGACGATGTCCGACTTTGCGCCGATAGATTCAAGCAATGCAAGCTGGCTGCGCGCTCGTCCACAATGTTGGACGAGTCGGCCGACGTCTTCATGGATAACGTCATACACGAGGTTGCCCAGCCTGGCAGCACCCACCAGGAATTGATCCAGACGGTTTCTGATTCGAAGGAATTCATCAGCTCGATCCTGAGGGGCGTCAAGGAGGTCCAGTTCGCTGTCAGCTTTGTCGGCATGACGAAGAGGGTGGATTCTGTCAAGCCCAATGCCAAGCCCGTCATGCTGAACGCTTCTATGAAAGAAGTCGGCATCGACTTGCACCGGCTGGATCCCAAGTCTCCCTCACACAGGATGTACTTCCCATCCAAAGATATCGCCCATGAGGCTCTTGCTGCGGCGTTGTCCATTTCTGTCGGCGTCGACGATGGCGACGGCAAGCCGGAGAGGCTGATCTACATCCCGATGGCAACGACCACTGTCAAGACAACGTTGCCATCCAAGACTGTCGAAATGACACAAGACGTTGGGGCCGAGGAGAGGAACGCAAACATCCTCTTCGCTAATTCCGTAGTAACATCTCCTTCGGTGGACCTCGATCCTCGCCACCTACCGCTCATCGTCGCCATGCTGAAACCCAAATCCTCAAAAAGGCCGCGAACTAATCGTCAGCCGCGTCATGTGCTCATATCACGACTACTGCCAAAGGCTAATATCAAATTTACCATGCACGAGCCAGTCCTCCGTGTCACCCTTCCAGCGGTCGACCAGCACGCGGCGTCCGACGACTTCGATTTAATCATATCGTCTATTTCGTCCATTTCGCTCGACATGGAGTCATTCCATTCCACCGTGGAAGATCTACACTATTCACTTGCGTCTACTATGAGAATACAGTCTCACGAGCTGTACTACCAAACGTCGTCGAGTAATCGATTCGACTTGATACAGACCGAGTCTTTCGAGCTGAAAGTGCAACTCAGTGCGACTCCGGACGTCCATGTTGTTGCGTCGGGCAATCTGCAGACATTCTCGATCAAGATGGTGCGACCTGAGATCACCGACGGTCTCAGGCAGATCGTGCGACAGTTGAGGATGAATGTGGAACCAGAGAAGCGCTCCAACTTACACACTTCCAACAAGCGGCAGAACTTCCTGCGCGCAATGCCAACGTGGCTTTTGCAGTTCCAACTTCAAGCATCGGACTTCAGCGTCGAGATTGCAGGCATTGACGAAGACATCTCAGATGACACCCGTGGAGTGTCTTTGCAGCTCGATGAGTTCTCCGCCGAGTACCGCGCACAAAGGCTGGAGGGACTTCAGCGGCGGCCGTCACGACGTAGGGCTAACAGCCGCACCGTGGCCCCGGATTCCGACCTACTTAGAAGCCCCATCTCGCCGCCACCTAGAAAGAAGCAGCAGAACCATGGTGACGGGCGAAGAGTCACGTTCCACGTCCGAGGCTTGGAAGCCTACATCGTCGAGTCGGAAGATAGGGTCGAACTGGAACCCTTTGTCAACATGCCGCGGTTCGAAGTAGCGTTCCAGGCTATGAGTGACCAGCAAGGCCCAATCTTCCATATCCATGCCGGAATCCGTACTGTTCTCTTGCAATACTCTCTTTTCCGCCATTACTCCGTCGGCGTAGCTATCATGATTTTGCGGAGAGCCTTCATGAGGTCTGGTCAGGATGTTGGATCGCCGACAATGTCGCCGACGACACCGCGGAAGGATGCCAGCGACTTACTTGCTCCTCCAATGTCGCCAGAATCACCTTTTCTCGACATGAGCGAATACTCGACGGTTACACCAGAACTCATAGCCATTGACCTCAAGGCGGCCCTTGTGCAAGTCAAGGCTGAACTGCCTAACGATCCTCACTTGATGCTGCAAGTTTATGGGTTGAGGCCGGCCGACACAGATGGTCTGCACCCTACCTGGCGTCGAAACTCGTTCGTCTTTATGTCAAACCGCCCAGGATGCGAACTACATGGGCCAGGATGATCAGCATCAAGGGAGGTAGAGTCGACTATCGCAAGTCTCGACGGAAGCTTCCCAACGGCGGCTTCCATGAGGACAAGATGATCGACGTCAACTCCGACGCCATCAGATTCGCTGTGCCGCATGAGGTCCAGGTCAACAAGATTTCAGATAATGTCATCAATACGCTCAAGTCGATCAAGCAGCTTCACCACCGCTTCAAGACCGGCACAAATGAATACATTCTGGACAAGGTCCCGGGCGGTCCGAAGAATGTTCCCAAAATATCAGTCCGAACACGCTCATTACTTTTCGAGCTTGAGGACGGTGCATTTGAGTGGAAGCTTGGAATGATCTACCGCGCAGGCAGAGTCGAGCAAATGCAGCGACTTGCCCGAGAGGAAGCCTTTGAAGTCAAGAGAAAGAAGGTCCGCGAGGAAGAGTCGAGGAAGGAGTCAGGCAAACTGCGGGCTCGTTCGCTCTTCCACCGTGGACGGCAGCAGAATGGAGCCTCGTGGGCCCGAAGCCAAAGCGCAGACGGCAGAAGACCAAGCACCGACGAGCGCTCACGAGGCAGAGCCCCAAGATATGACCCTGATGGCGGAGGCGTTGGTCTCACAGGTTCAGCCTCAGTAGCAGAGCAGGAGGCACAGGCACGGCTAGATGCGTACAACGCCCAGAGCTGGAAAAAGCGCATCGACCGGTTCTATGCCATGGCAAAGAACGGCATGAAAGAGATCCGTGGCATCTTCTGGGGCCCTGACCAACTTCCCGACGACCTGGAGGACACGGAGAATATCCTTGAGGTGCCCCAAAGGCCAGCACTCATGTCCGCACTCATCACCGATCTCCAGTTCGTTATCGACAAGCCAACTTTCGCCATGAAGGACCTGCCAGACTTCATCCACTCCGTCGGAAAAGGGATGCCCAAGGATATGGAGTACGGTTTGCTCGTTCCGATGCACGTTTCCATCGACCTTAGCGAGGCCAGGATTTCCCTGCGCGACTACCCGCTTCCCCTGATACACATACCCAGCTTGAAGGCAGGTCAGTCGACAAGACTCCCAGCCATGTCGTTGAAAACGAACTTTGTGATAGCAGAAGAGTTCCGCGGGATGGAGTCTACCCGCCGTATCAAGGTCAACATTGTCCCCCCTCGAAACCATGAGCCCGGCGGCAGCAACGAGGGCACCTTTGCCATCGATGTCCGCCGCACCATTGGACCAGTCAAGTCATACTCAAATATGCGTATTGAAATCAACACAGCCCTGCCGACAAGAATCACCTGGGGTCCAGCCTACCAACCGGCTATCCAAGACATGATGATGGTCATTGAGTCCTTCACCAAACCCCAAGTCGATCTCTCCGAGAGAGTTGGTTTCTGGGACAAGATACGTCTCAACTTCCACTCGAGAATACACGTGGCATGGAGAGGCGATGGCGACATGCATCTTGCGCTCAAAGGAACCCGCGATCCTTACTGCGTGACCGGCAACGGCGCAGGTTTCTTGATGTGCTGGCGCAACGACGTCAGGTGGAACATCAATGCTGACGACGATCCAAAGCGGTTCATGACTGTGGATTCTGGTGAATACGTCCTAGCAATCCCCGACTACAGTCACCAGGTTCGAGAGGCTGCAAGGCGAACAGGAGAAGACGACAGCCTTATGAGTGAAGACAGCTACAAGTCCGGAGCGTCATTCAAGAAAGTGGTAATGAAGCTCTCTGGCAAGGTGCAGTGGATGACTGGCCTTGTTTTCGAACGCGCAATACAGGATGGCAAACGCAGCTTCGAGTTCCGACCTCACTATGACATTGTATTGCGAGCTCCTCATCATGTCAAGCCCGAGGACCAGCCATACGATGCTTTCCGTGGATTCCGAAGCCAGCACATTCATCTCTCAATCGCAGTCCGAGCCCCCGTAGACCGCGATTGGATGGCGGACAACGTAGAGTCGTCAAGAAGCTACAACACGGTCCATTGCACGCCTCGCTTCTTTACTCACTTCTTTGCCTGGTGGTCCCTATTTGGTGGCGCTATGGCGTTACCCATTCGGCAAGGATCGCTTTGGCCCGGCAGAGAGCGAAACAGCAAGAAGTTCGGCAAGCATCTCTCTACCATCAAGTATAATCTCCTGCTGGCACCTCTATTCCTCAGTCACATCTACAAACATAAGGACGCGGAAGATGCTTCCGATAGTGGTGTTTCGGCGACAGGCCTCAAAGTCCGCTTCGACAGCTTCATGCTAGATCTGCATCAGAGGCGTGAGGAGTTCAACACGCGAGACCGCGGTCGCAAGACTAAGGGAAAGACAAGCGGCATCAAACTTCATGCGGCCCAGCTTGACTTAGCAGCAGCTGATGTCCGCGCTGTTTCGGCAAGTATACGGGGTACAACGACGGAAGCTATCAAGAAAGGCACAATGGCCAGCCTAGTCACGGACCAGCACGAGGATAGTGCCGATCTTTCACGTTTCACCATCCCCGACAACGACTTGAGTTGGATCGACATGGACGATTTTGTGGAATTGGACTGGATTCTGCCAACAGAGCCCAACCCCGACACGAAGATTCTGCCCCTTGCCTTCGCGCCCCGTCTCACCTACTTCCGGCAAACGGATATCGGGGGTGTTATTTCAGGCGACCCGGACCGTAGAAGTCCCTTCGGCGATGAGCCGACACATTTCTGCATCATGAGCCATGATGACGACCCCCGACGAGTCCAAGCACAGCTCATCCAGGAACGTTTGGATCAGCTGGAAGTCCAGATTGAGAACTACAGCAGAAGCCTTGGAGATGCCGAACTAAGAGTTGTGCGCGACGATGCCAAAGACCCCAAACTGATTGCCGCATTCGAGAGTTTGCAGCAACAAGGCGCCATATTGCAGAGAAAGAAAGTCTACCTTCAGAACATGCTCCGTCAGATGAACAGCAAGTCCCCTATAAACGGCAGCAACATCTTCAAGCGGGAGAACGGAGGGGGCAGCAAGTCGGAAGAGTCGGTTGAGCTTGACCAAGGCGACGCCCTGACAATACCATCTGGCGCGGAGTTCGAGAGTGACTTCAACAATCGATTCGTCATCCATAATCTCCATTTTAAGTGGAACAACACCCTTCGAAACATTGTCCTTCGATACATACATCAGGTTAGCCAGCGGAGAGGTTTCGTGTACTACTTGTCTCGGCCCGCAGTCAAGTTCATATTGGACATCGTGGAGGAACAATACAAGGCCAAACAGAATCCCAAGCCAGCAGGCAAGAACAGAACCCCCACAGGAGGCACCACTGCTGGTGCGTCTCCTGATCTCGATGCCGCCGAGCGCGAGTTCAAGCAGGATATCGAGGACCGCATTAAGAACATTCTGAAAGAAGGCAAGAAGTATGTCAACGCTGACGGAGAAGCTGGCGACGATGTCCCCAATCTGCCGATTGAAGACCTGTCGAGCGGCATTTCGGACGAGTTCACGCCACAAAACAGCTACCATGTCCGACTCATTGCTCCGCAAATCCAGCTGCAAAGCGACAAGAACAAGAAGAACGTGGTCATTCTCACATCAAAGGGCATGGAACTCAAGGTTGTCGAGGTGATGGACAAGAAGAGACTTGCAGACGTGGTCAGCGGTCTTGTACAACGACGATTCCTTGTCAACATGGACAGCACCCAGTTTTTTGTCACTCATCAATCATACTTTTCGGAAATCGTCACGACCTATGCTGGCAGTCGATATGGTACCCCTGCCACGTCGTCATGGCCGCCATGGGTTCCCATGGAAGTCATGTTCGATTTCGAGACAGATCCTTTCGGCTTCAACCGTGTAGTGCAAAAGACTTCGGCCATGCTCCGTTACGAGAAGTACAACACTTTGCGTCTGAAGTACAATGACGAGGTCAACACCGACGGCGCCGGCGATTCGTCCCAGCCGAACAACGAGAGGAAGATGGACAACCTCTGGGTTGAGTTCCCGCAAGCCAGAGCTCTTTGCAATTCTGGCGACTACTACGCCATGTATGTGATTGTATTGGATCTACTCATGTACAACGAGCCTCTCGAAAAGACGCGAAGCGAGCGCCTGGAAAAGATCATGTTGGCCTCAGACTTCAGTGATCTCAGCGGCACGCCGGAGATGGTCGAGAAATTGCAGGAACGCATCCGCCAACTGCAAGACATCAAATCCCACTTCCAGATCTACTCCAAGTACATGGATCAGCAGGGTTGGGAGGATCGACTCCTTCTCGAGCGAGACTTGGCAGCATGCGAGGACGAACTGTTCTTCATGATGAAGGCCATCACGTCCTCGCAGCGCAGGTACGAGACGAACTCTGATAGCAACGCTCTTCTGAAATGGAGCATCACTGCACGAGACACGGTTTGGCACATGCTCCGAGACAATAAGGAACCGCTTGTCGAGTTGCAACTCAAGGACGTGGAGTATGACCGGACCGATAACGCGGACGGGTCGCACATCAACTTGATCAGGGTCGGCAAGGTTTTTGGACTGAACCTCCTTCCCGACGCCATGTATCCAGAAATCATTGCGCCCTACGTAGATGGTGACAAGAGCACGGCCGACTTGGGCAACCAAGAGATGATCCGGGTCTACTGGTACATGCTTGAAGCTATCGCCGGCATCCCCGTCATGGATCATTTCGAGGTCAACTTGTTCCCAATGAAGATCCAACTTGAGCGCGAGGTGGGTAAGCGGATTTTTGAGTACATCTTCCCTGGCATCGACGGCGACAACAAGACCAAGAACGACTCGCCATTCATGCTGAAGCACATCCCCACGGAAGACGACGAGGAAGACGATGACTCGATGTCTGGGTCTGGCCGTCTTACTACTAGCGACAAAGACGGGTTCAACACCAGGCCGGGTTCACTTGAGCTGCGTCTACTCCCAACACTGAATTCAGACTCTCCAACCAAATCGATCGGCAGCAAGAAGTCTCTCACAGTCAACACCGGCGAAGGCCAAGGACACACGTTCCGTCTCTTCCGATCCGTTGGCACTGGCAAGGTCCCTTCAAAGAAGCCTTCCTATGAGTCACTAAAGTCAACGAAGGAACCTCGCCCTGGAATCGGTCGTACGTCGACCGGGTTCTCCTCGAAGGAAAGCACAGCCGCCAGCGATGGTAAGAAGTCACGTTTTGGACGGCGCAAGGAGTCCAAGGCGGAAGAGAACAAGCCGTCCGACGACCTCACTAAGATGATGTCGCGTGCGAGCAATTACATGACGTTTGCGCACATCAAGATGCCCTCGGTGGTGCTCTGCCTCAGTTACAAGGGCAAAGACAACCGCAACGTCGAGGACGTGCACGACTTTGTGTTCCGTATGCCGGCGGTGGAGTGGCGCAACAAGACGTGGTCCAACCTGGATCTCGCTCTCGCCCTCAAGAAAGCAGTTATCAAAGCTCTCATCTCGCATACCGGCGCGATCATTGGTAACAAGTTCAAACAACGCCCTAGTGGTGCACAAGCCAGCAAGCTTCGGGAACTGGCCAGCGGTTCCTCTCTCATCGCGCCAACGCCTTCGTCGTCGTCACAACAGGACGCTGATAGTATCAACAACAGCGACGATTCGTCAAGCCTATACGGCAATTCGCCGGTGGACTACTCCCGATCGCCGCCGCGCTCTTACCACGGCAGTTCTGCTAGCAGCATTCCCATACCACGGCCTACAAGCAGGAGCTCTAGTGTCGCAAGTGGCCGCTCGCAGCGGACCGGCGGATCAAACAACCAACAACCCACCGTGCCCAGCTTTCTTATGATGACGCCGCCGACGCCGTTAGATAGCCGCGCGCCAACACAGGGAGTCGGCTTCGAGCTGCTGCGCCCCTCTTCTAGGAGTAGTTTGGCGCCGTTCGATCAGGCCGGCGGCGGAACCATCCGATCACTATCCCGGTCAGGAACGGGCGGGGACCCGGGCGATCGTCGGAGGTCGGCCGGGGGCGCGTTCCTTCGCGACAAGCTCAACCAGCTCACACACCGAAAGCGCGACGGGGCTCAGAGGGAGAGCAGCCAGAAGCAAGAGAGCCAGAGGGAGGAGACGCCGGAGAGGGAGGAGGACCCGAGTATCGCTGCTCCCGATAGCCCCAAGAGCTCGAAACGGTTCCCTGGACTGAACAGCCGGGTCAAGACGGGATAGTAGGAACGAACGAGGCCCTGGCAGTGAAGACTAGTGCCGATAATTAGTGCGAGGAATCATCAACAAGGAAAAAAAACGGGAAGGAAAACTTAAAGCATGCGTGCCGGATATAGACTGGGCCCACCACGGGGCAGGCACAGGGAGGCAAACGTTAAATTCGTTCGTTTTTTTCTCTTCTGGCAATACCCGGCGTTGGCGGTATGCGACCACAAATATTAAACACGCAGACCTTATATCGTCGGCCTTTTTTTTATATCTTTATGTAACATTTTTTATATTACGCAGAGGATAGAACCAAGGCGTGGAGGTGGGTTAGAGCGAATCGAGCGAGCCTTTCTTCGGTCTTTTGTATACATCACAGGGTGGGTAGATGTTTTGCAGTAGAGAAAAAGATTGAGCGATTCAACCCACGAACCATACGAAAGAGAGGAGGAGGAGAATTCAACACTTGGTAGTGGTAGAAGAAGGTTGACGCGCTGTTTGCGTCGAGCCGGGGGGAGAGTCAAGCGTAGAGTTCAATGTTGACAACTTCTTGAATCGTGTTTCTCCCCTCAAATTCATTGGTGTCTATACTGTGCCATCGTTCCCCACGCGTATAGTTGTCCAGCAATGCACATACTCCCTTGACCCGGCCTTGTACGGCGTCTTCTCTGAGGGGACGAGGCAGGTCACTGAGAAGAGCCAGTCGTATGACTACGTCAACTTTGGCAACCATCTTGACCTCAACGGCAGGCTAGGCGATTCACACCCGTCCGCCGACATGCCCTACGTCGGCGAACGAGTGACGGCGGTTCATGCAGGGGAACCCGGCTGCGTTGCGGTACATCGACGGGCAGCAACGAGGTTATCTTGCATACCGTTCCGAGTCCGGCCGTACGAGTGCCGCAGACGCACCGCCGGCGCATGGAGAGCTCGAGCCTTTCCTGTTCTCTGCGTGTCCATATGCCGCTGCCGACTTCCTGCTGGCTGCAATCCGCGGCAAAAACGTGCGGGCTATATTCGGCGCAGCGAAATTTTGCCCAGGAGTTCAGGCCAGCGGGCGTAGAAGAAGGGCCATGTCGTTTGCCGACAACTTGGTGTCAGAATCCAAAAACACACTACAAAGAGTTACATTGTGATCACCTTGACACGTCGCAAATGTCAAGGGAGCCATCAGCCCACACACAATGTTGCAACTATCCACCTGCTTAAAACATCTGGCATCCTTCCATATGTCGGCACATTGAGCCCGAAATGAACTCGGGCACGAGGTACCATGCAGAGTCTGTATGTAAGCTTACACTCAGACGAGCAATTTGGGTTGCGTGGCGATCTTGAATCGCCACTGGTATATGGAACCTAGCAGTGTAATGGTATCTGCACGCAATCTTTTGCAATATATCTATGGAGGTCTACAACTCGACAAACGGTGTGGAAAACACTCTATTGGATTCGCAAGCAGAGTGTTTCTAAGCTGCAGTTCTAGCTTGGAAGAAACATGGAAGAAACGCTGAGTTCTTTGACAGTAACTACTCCGCAGCAAAGCCCAGGAGATGTTGTCTGAGCCATCTAGATTTACTTACTCTAGGGCAGCATCCCTTCAGCAAGCAAAGTCGTTCTTGGTAGCGAGTGGCACAATACGGGAACATTACGACTGTTGGAACATGGCCAAGGAGATGCAAATGCAAGACGAGGCAGATACAGCATTCCTTCCAAGCTGCATCCTCATTTCTCTCACTTACCCACCTTGGTCCGAATCATGGTTGTAAACGCTTACGCTTTATTTTTGACTTTGGCTGTCAAACGGAAGCATGTGGTTTTGTTTCTGCGCGAGGTCGTTTGACGCATGTCCACAGGTGCGGGGAAGAAAGTTTGCCAGTGATCCCGTGTGAGGTAGCCATGGAAGTTGGAGGCTTCGAAATCACTAGAGGTCCAGACCCGGCGGGAAGAACTATGTCTTCAGCGCGGGAGGGGAGGGTGAGAAGTGTTTCAGCGATGGTCAGCTCATATGTTTCTCCATCTCTGGCCACCGACTTTGTCTACCCCGCGAACGGTGCCTGGCGCAAGGCCGCGTGGTCGAGACAGGAGCGTGACAGCCCGTCCGAATATATCTTGCTAGCATTGACCATGTTCAGAATGATGCTGATAGTACCACAAGGTGGTTGAAAATGGTCACGGAATGGTGGCCAACATCCAGCACGTGAGGTGTTGAGCCACGCGTGAGACATGTCGTTGAAGGGTACCAGAATGAACGGCTACAACAACGGCAAAGAATCAGGTATCGGGCTACGGGAGATTTTGGAGAAGCGTGAAGCGCATTTGGCGGGGGTTGAGTTTAGGACGAGGGCCGTGCTGCTGGAGAGGACGCCGTTGAGATCCGGAGCCGTGTCTTGGGGTCTTGGCGCTGATGTTGGTGTTGGAGCTGCCCAGTCAGTCGCGGCGTGTCGCCGTAACTTGGGCAACGCACTCAACGAAACCTGCAGCAAAGACTGTGCGGCCCGCGATTGTTCGTGCCCTCGTCTCGTGCGATGGGAACGCCATGCGCGCGGTCTTGGCTTCATGCGAGCTGCGCCGTAAGGAGAGTCAGCTGATAGATGTTGACCCTGGAGGAAAGAGTTCGACTCCAGCACAAGACCCCTTGCATGCCTGGCAGGTTGTTTGCCCTTTTGGATGTTTTTACCCCGCAAAACGTAGGGAAAAGCGCATACCTTGAGATGGCTGCCCGACTCAAGTCCTACCGGTACACACTTAACCTCCAATGGCTTTCTGCCACCATCCTTGTTCCCATCCACACCAACGCCAGCGCCAGTCGACGAGGCCGGCGTTCTATGACGCAGGATTGGGGTATAGACTGGCGAATCAGCAAGCAGCGATAAGGGGGCATCTGAGACCTTCGTGAGGGTGTGGGATGGCGTCGCTAGGTTAGGAATGGTGCATACATAGTAGATGACTCTTGCCCGCGCCTGGCCGTGTGTTAGTTGGTCGTTTTGCGTGTACACGCAATATGTGTAAGAGGCTGCCTGCACCGGCCTTTGAACGAGCTGCCGAGATTCAGTCGTGGTTTGGTGATGTACCTAGTTTTGTTCATCCATGAGAATGGCTGCATTCACATATTGGCCTCCCATGCAGAGGATAAATGACGAGCCCAATGATCGGATCTCTTCCTGAAGCGGGCGATCGGTATTGTGCCACCTGTCGCATTCGGGCATCGATGACTGATGCAAAATACCCAATCGGTGGTTGGATGTTTGCGGTCATGATAGAGGGATAGGCAAGCGATGTGCAAGGCCAAGACGGCGGGGTAAAGCAGGCGAGGTGAGTGAGACAGTGGTCACTGAGACAGCCCTGAATATCATTTGCCATGTCGGCTGGAGGCAGTCCGTAGAGAAGGTCCGTGACTCAGGGGGTTGCAGAAAAGAGTTGTGAGTTGTGCAAGGGAGCCACAACAAAACGCAGCCAACCTATAGAGTACTCGGTTTCTTGCATCGGTGGTCCGAAGCCGACTCAAGACCCCTGTGTGCCCAAGTATTGACTTCGTAGCTGCGAGAGATAAGTAGACTTGAATGTCGACACTGGTGAAGAGCCGAGGAGAAGCTGAAGCGTGCTGCGTAGTGCATGACATGATGTTTGACCAGAGGCCAGTATCGTCGGCCGATGGATACTTTGTCTCCAGGGCTTCTCTGCACCAGCTTTGAGATCTCTCATGTTGTCTAGGAGAGGGTGGTGATAAGACGTTCGACGGTGCTGAAAGCGGGAGAGGCGCCGGGGCGATCGACGCAAGGCCGTCGTGCGGGTGATATCCCGTATTGGTTCCCCGAGGACTATCGACGCGGAACATCAAAGCCCTATTGCGCCGAACAAACGAACGAGCGAAACGGGGGCTAGGACGGTTAGGCGGCCAAGAGAAGGGATAGAACGGAGGGCGAGAAGTAAGCGGCGCTAAAACTAGCCCCGTGGGATACGGACGAGGGTGCTCTTGGTTGGCCTGCCTGTCTAGTCAACGAAAGCGAACGGCATAGGTCGACAGGGATCGGGAGATGGAGCAGGGAAAAGGCGACGGTCGGGGACTTCTGCAAGGCGGTGGAGGTGGACGGGGCGCAACGCAGCATAGCTGGGTTATCTGGGGTCGGAGGAGGCCGGTAGGAGTTGTTGATGCATGCCGGGTGTTGCAGGTGATGGGTAGTATGGTGATGAGCAGTAGTCCAGCGGGAAACATTCGTGTTGGGAGATTGAAACGCCCACGAAGATTCAAAGATGGTCCGTAGTGGCCGGAGGAAGGCCCAGACCAGGCGCCAGGCCATACGGTGGCAGGGCGGATGTTCGCTTCGCACCCTCAGGAATGTGGTCGGAGTCCAGGGCCGGGAATATGGGGAGCAAGAGACATTGGCAGTGCCCCTGTAGTGCTTAATATCTCGTGAGTCGTCAGCTCAAGGCCACGACTAGCAGCAGCCTGAGAAGGTACTAGCCCGTTTGCCCACTTGCCCGGAGCGGACGACCACACTCGAGACCGACTGGCTTTAGGGCCCTACGGTGTTGGTCTACACGGCTTGTCCAGTAGAAGGAGGGTCACGGAGTCTCTCGGGAAGAAGTGCGATTCGGCATGTTGCTGGCTGGATAGGATGGAATGGGACGAAAGCCAGTGGAAAGGGGGGAGGGATGGATGGATGTTGGTGGTGGTGGCAGCGGCAGCGACGGTGTTGGGTGGGCTCGGTGGGCGTCGATAAGGAAATGGAGGCACACGACAGGCTCGAGGTTGTATTACGCATAAAAGGAACGGACGCATAAAATGATCGGGGCGGCTTGTGCTCGTGCATAACAGGGCTGGACCTTCCATCTCAGCTGTGAGGCGAAGTGTGCCAAGATGTGGTCGCTGGAACCGGGCAGTGGGAAAAGAACGGGGCCGCGAAGCTCCATCGTCACCAAGCAAGGCGTCTTACATAAGGTGGTTTTGTTCTTGATTTATCCCAAAAAGCAATCCTGAGTCTCTCATTGGACGCTGCATGTGGCCGAAGCTCGTTTTCTTGGTGGCGGTCCGCTATTGACACAATAGCCTGGGAGGCCCTGACCGGGTCAGCCGGGCACTCGCACGGCGTGTCCTTGCTGAAGAGTCTTAGGATTGTCTTGGGGCCATTCAAGATGCCCACTATTATGACGGGCTCTGTCCAAGCCGAGTGGTACCACTGGAGTGTGATGGCCCGGAGATCATCACTGTTCATTGAAGGCATGATCTAAGGGAGCGCACCATGCCCATCAGTGGCCTTTTGTTGAGACAGGTCCTGTAATTTTAACACGGTAATGGGCCCCAAGGCTGAATGGATGCCTCGAAGGCCTAGAATAGTGCACCTATGCGCATCCTCATACCATGGCATTGCCCCAAGGACTGGGACTGGGGCATGTTGCGACGTGTTGAATGGACGGCTTGGAAACGCCGTATCCAGCTGGGGGTGCACTCGGCGCGTGACTTGGAAACAGGGCCGTGGGAGAGTGGGATTCACATCATTCGGTGCGAGGCGGGAATGAGAGGTGACAGATTGTAAGACTGACGACGGACGATCCCCCGAGGGCTGAAGGCCGAGGAGAGTCAGCAAGAGAGTGAATGAATGAGTAGCCCCCGTGGACTCCATTTCCCCCGTGTTCACACCTCCATTACCGCCTTGGCCGCCTTGGACCCCCAAATCCCATGTCACCCCAAACTCTAGGCCCAAACCATGCGGGTGTAAGGTAACGCCGACCAGTTACGACTCACCCCAGAAGTCTATGGCTACTGTAAGAGAAAAGCCTTGAATTCCTTATCAGTGACTTCCGCAAGTGTTGCTTCCTCAACCTTGAGCCCAGGGCCTGTGCGCATGCACCCGCGCCCATCCATCGTTCTTGCGTCCAATAGGTCACCTACCTGGCTGTTTGGGGCGTCGGCCGACGAGGTGCGAAGGAAGCAACTCCCCAATCGGGCAGGCAAGCAGACACGAAGAAGCAAACGACCCTACCCTCCCGCAGGAGGCAGGCACCATTGGCCGGGCCAGCTGCCTCGCGACTGCCCCGGCACCAGCGTAGCAAGAGATCGAGATAGAACGAGACAGAAAGAGGGAAGGAAGGAAGGAAAGAGGAAAGAAAGAGCAAGCCTCGATGCCCTCCTCCTACCTCTTCCTCGCCCCCCAATGTCTCCATGTAGCTTCTAGCTCTAAGGTAGTCTGTCGTTACCCCATGTTGGGGGTATCCAAGATATACCGTTCCTTTGACTGGCCCAAGTGGCCCAAACACCACCTTTTAGAGGTTGAGGTTGGGAGAGAGGTGGGTGAGTGAGTGAGTGAGTGAGTGAGTGAGTGCGTGAGAGTCCTTATCTCTCCTGCCTCCATCTCGGCCCCCAGTCCCGTGTCGTATCAGCATCAGTGCTCCCCCCGTATCTATCGGCCTTCCATGTGCTGCTCTCGGGTGCCTCGATGAGGTGTCATATTGTTGTATTAATCAGTTGACACCGAGACCTTGGTCCTATTTGGGTGATTTTCTTTTTCCTGTCTCTGCTCGTTATCCAAAAACAAGAAGCTTCCCATCTCTAGCTTCTTGGTTCTCTCTACTGCTGCCTCCCCCTTTTTTTTGTGCTGCATCGCGCCTCTCACTTTGCCACCCCTCGACGCCCGGCCTGTCGTCATCCTCGTCGCTCCAAGGCACAGCTCGCCAAGTACACTGCTTGCCTGACTCTCTGCACCCGCGCCCATCACATCACCTCTCCCCGCGTCCCCTCCGCCGACGACACTGAGAATACCTTGCATCCGGGCCGTTGCGAACTCCAGGGGCTCCCGACCGGTTCCTTGATTATTCGTACCTAATATCAATAACCACAATCGTCATCCCGAGTCTCGAATTCACCCTCGTGACGGGACTCGACCCTACGATACCCAAGGACCAAGGTCATCATCGTCCTATCTACCGCCAGGTCTTCCTTGTGGGTGCTTATCGCGGCGGCAGCGGCATAGGGTCCCTCCGCAATCCATCGCCATCATCTCTCTCAACCTCGAACAGCCGACCCGACTCGCGTGCATTCCCACTCTCCACAACTCTACGCAAACTGCACCCACTTCGAGTCCAGCTTTACGCAGTACTACACGGCGCTCTCTGTCAATCTGCAAGGGCACCGGCGGCAATTTCTATTGCCTGCCACCTGGTTTTCCGGATCCCTCGATCAAAGGGGACCCGACCTCTAACTGCAGCTCCAGCCAAAAAGTCGGGCCCGGATTCCACAGTGAAGCACGCATCGCATCCGCCGCACATACATACAACCACGATACAAGCCTTTGGACCCGTGCTCCGCTGCGTCACCTCCCAGCAATCACTGCCCTTGAAAGTTCCTTCGCGGTTCCTGGTGGACGAGTTGTCTGCTAAACCTCGACGTTGATTAGCTGTTGCGCCGTTAACTTTACGTTACCAAAACATCCACGACCCCTGCCCCCAGCACACGACACAAGCAGGTCCGAAAAAGAACAGCAGGAGAAAAGCCAAAGGCCAGACGAGCACGTCTGTTCCACAACGCCCTCCACGCCCACAACTGGTCGAACTGGTCCCCTATTTGTGCGTTGTCCCTTCTCCAGGACGGGACAGGACAGTCCGCCACGCCCCAGCAAAAGTCTACAACACCCTCGCCCACACACGCCCATACCCAATTTCCAAAGTCTCCAACTCGACTGGTCGACCAGTGTCGTCTCACTGTACTGTCCATCCCTAGTTTGGGCCGCCGCCTCCGCCGCCGGTGTGTGCTGAGCCCGCTTGCTTCTGCTCCTCGAGGTGCCCTGCCAGTTCCAGTCGCCCACCCCCAGCCCAGTCGCACAGTCATAGTCACAAATCCCGGCTCCACAGCACCCTGCCCTGCACTGCGGCCCCAAGCTGCTTGTGCTCGTGCGTAGTTGTGCCTGGTCTGGTCCCTTTCCACACCCCTTCCCTGTCAACCTGTCTTGCCTGTCGGGTCCGGCTTGCCCCGCCGAGCCACTGGCGCACCAGGGCATGTCCAGACGCCGCCATGATGTCCCCAAGGAGTTTCCTTTACTACAATAGGCAGCCCTCGGCCTCGACCACACCTTCATCCTCTCCCTCCTCTTCGTCTCCCACGCCCAAACCGACCAGCAACAGCCACGCCGCCAGCTCCAGTTCGAATCCCGTCCAGACGACGACCGCCCCGATCAACACCTCCAGAACGGCTCTGCCTTCTGCCCTGCTGGATCGGAAAAAGGATGCTCAGAACGTCTCTGTCACCGTCACGCCTATCCCTACTACTTCCACTACCACCTCAGCTACCATGGCCAAAAGGAAGGATGCTCGCCGCGAAACGTCTAAGTTGGCGCCGTCGAGCCCTCCTCGCACAACCACCAGCGTAACCACGAGGCCGACCACCCCGACAACGCCGGTCCAGATTCCCTCGAAAACCAAGTCAAATCCGTTCCACGCCTCTCATCGCCATGCGCAACGGAAAACCTCCCGCCCAAGGGATGTGCACTCGCCGGATGCCGTCCCGCCTGCCATGTTGGCCCTTCTGGCCGTCACTGATATCCCCAGGCCCCGGCGGAGCTTGAAGCAGAGGCTCGCCAGGGACCAGCCCATGACCCTCGAAGCTGTTATTGAGAGACAGCAAGTATGCGAAAAGGAGCTGAGCCTCACTTTTGGCAGCAAGAGCCCGATGGACTTGTTGCTCTCGCCACCCGATGACCTGACAGACGACGACATGTCAGTCAGCGACAGCGGCCTTGGCTCCGTTCTTTCCACCAGAACTGTATCGGTGGAGTCTGTGCCTTCCTTGGGCGATTCCTTTTCAACCGACACGTTATCATCCCTGGGGTCGCCTTACGGACCCAGCCCGCGAAGGAAGCGATCCCGTCAGCCCCGACGCTCCCTGGAGCCCGTCTCGTCCCCTCCTGGTCAGCCCGAGGACCACCCGTTGTCCCGCGACCGGGTCAACGTGGAGGACCTTGACTTCAGGGTGTTTGATGAATCCCAGGACGAGGAAGACACCAAGTCGGAATTCTCCTTTTCCGACTACACATTTCCTCTTCGCCCCCTCAAGTCGGCCTTCAAGTCCAACCTGACGGCATCGCTGCGCGCACTGCGCTCAGCTGCGCGGTCCATCTCGGCCATCAACTTCTCATCGATTCCGCCAGACGACTTTCTTACCAGGTCCATTCTCACGATCGACCCCAAGGTGCCCTACACAGACGAGCGCCGACCGCCCGTCTTGGAGGAGGAGCCGTCTGCGGCGTTGCGTCGGTACCTGAACCCCACGACCAACGCTCGGATTGAGCCCCACCCAAACACGGCCACGCCTACGGGCACGCGAAGCTTTACTGCCTCGATCCAGATGCAGACTTACAAGGTTCAGAGAAGCCGCAGCGCACCACCCACATCAACCCGGAGCCCCTCCCCGACGACATCGGCGGGCACGACTCAGTCAACACCTTATCAGCCCCCTACTCAATCTCCGAACCAGACAGCATTCACGTATCCTCCCGGAGGCATGCGCCAACGAGAGATGCGGGAGAACTCGGACTTCATTCGCATTGCCGTCATGGAGATGGCGATGCGCAAGCAGGGCAAGCTCGACGACCAACGACCAGGCCGCGCCCGCTGGGCCTTGCCTCCGCGAAAGGCCAACGTACGGGCCTACGAGGTTGGCGCCGACGGCGTCCCGGCGCGTTGGATCCCAGTGTCGAACTGATGTCAACATTGGGCGAGCCTGGTGTGGGACAGTACCTGCCCCCAAGGGACTCTCCAAGGCCACCGGGTTACACGATGCGATTATCCAACGACGCCGCAGCGCGCACCGATACCGCAGTGCTGAAGGACTCCACGACCCGGGCACGTCACAATCCCACGTGGGTTGACTGTCCCATGGCCGGCGGCAAGCTTGTTTTTTTTTTTTTTTTTTTTTTTTTTTTTTTTTTTTTTTTTTTTTGCCGTGGTGTCCCTCCCCCCTCTCCGCGTGCAACACCGCGAGAGAGTTGTCCGCGGAGAAGGCAGAAAAGCGAGGGTTGGGGGGTTCTGCACAATTGTGTGCGGTGCCCTGCTTGCACCATGGCTACCGGGGTGCAATCGTCATTCAGCAAGGCACGCCCCCAAGACGCTAATTTACGGGGAAGCGTTGTGGCCCGCATTCCCATTCCTAAGCGACCAGGGGCCTGACATAAGTGCCTGCCTTATCCGATACAGCGGAATGGTCAGCATCATCGCGCATCTGGGACTATGGGCTCCCTGCCGAGGGAGGGTTCCATTTTCTGCCCGAATGGTCGAATTGTTTGACTAGACCGTCTGGGGGGCAACCGAGAGAGAAGCATCCAGTTTTTTTCTTCTGCTTTCCTTCGCTTCTAGAAGGAGTCGATGTGCGGGCCTTGACCATGCTCTTACCTTACCGTTTGGTAATAGCTCAGAGGACCTTTTGCATTTCGCCTACCGCCTACGAGCGAGGAACTTTTTGCTGGCCGCCGGCACCATCAGATCACACCCTCCGAAATGAGCAGAGCAGCAGTGTACTTCTGCGACATTGGCGGGTCAGCACCACCTGCTGCATTTGTCGATTTTTTTAGAACCGAGTATCACCGACTGAGGATGAACCGCATCATCAGTCATTTTCGAATTGTATGAAACAATGGGGCGGAGCAATCCAACGAAAATGGGAGGACAGCTGCGAGATGCGTTGGCAGAATTGCCCGGCAACAGACGCAAGGTTACGACAACAGACTCATTTGGTGGACACACGTCCGACACGCATCGCGCGCACACACGCACACACATACATCGCCAAGCATTCATACCGTACACACGCGACTGGTTCTTTCACGGCCCGGTTCCGTGGGCATGGCCTGATGCCACCGATATGCGACGGGGAACTTTTACCACCGCAGCGACCATGGGCGATGCAGAGCCAAGCCTTACCGGCATGGTTCTGCCACCCAAAGGAATCGGGCTATTCGCAACACTTTTTTTTATTTTATTTTTCTGCTTCGACACCACATGCATAGCGATGGATTGGGATGATGAGCATTTGAGGGCGCATGCATAGGTTTTTCTTGGTCTTGTTGATTTCTTTTTGAATTGATTTTGACATTGACTTTTTTTTTTTTTTTTACTGCCCTCCCTACCGCTCACGGCCCCTCTCTTCCGACTCTTTCTGTACTCGACCAATCGACAGAGGCCTCTCGGTCCAGGCAAGGGAAACTCATGGACGCTTCGAACCCACTCGGACATCAATCCACAGCTCACACACGGCAAGAACTCGGAGTGTGCGGTCTGCGGGGACTCTTCACCGGACCCAGCTCCTTTGGGTCTTCCCCACGCGCGAACAGCCCATGTCTTGGCGGAATCTTGACTCGGCCCTCGCATGTGAAGCGCAGGCCGAGCTGTTGTGACGCCAAAATGAGCAAATGGAGTCGGCTACGGCGTGAGTCAGGGAGCTGCGCACACCACAGAAAGAGGAGGACAGGGCTGGGATGGAGGGCCAAATTTTTTCCTCTTATCTCTGCACGCGAATGCAAGAGAGGAGCGACGACACATGATAGCCGGAGTTTTCTCGTTTTGGAGTTTTTGGGAAGGTCCTGCCGCACGGTTTGATTTGCTACGGTGTAGCGGCATTAGCAGGAAGCATCACATAAGCATGGGAATCAGGCAATGCGGCATCAGAATCCGCATGGGGGGAAATCAAAGGAGCGCTACAGGCGCACAATGTTGATTTTAGTTGCAGACGAAAAATATGAAGCACATATTTGACTCAAGATATCCTTCCATGCATTCATCACTTGGCGCAGCGAGGCGAGGCGAGGCGAGGCGCGGCGCCTGTTGGGAGGACCTGACTCTGTGTTAAGCACAAGCAGGGGTAAGTAAAAGCAACTGCTGCATGGAGGCCTAATCCGCTGTTTACTTTGAGTAGCAACACAGCACAGCATGCAGGCCAACCACCCAACCTCTCACAACGACTGACCGCCCATCGCCTTTGCAGATGCAGAGAGTGTGCACGATTACGTCTCACTGGAATATGACGGATCCCGGGGGGGTGGGTGAATTGGCGGTCACGCGATTTCGGGGTTGGGATGCGGATCGTCATTCACCGCATCAAATGGATGCGGCCAAGCCGAACGAACATGGCTTTTAGGCTGGCTCGACAATTTCCCTCCAAGTCGGTCGCCTGGTGCTCGGCGGACCGATTGAGTCGATATCGGACTTGTCGGACGACGATGCCCTTTCTCCCTGCTGGTGGGGGGGGGAGGGATTCATTTTCCCGGGATATGACGGGTTCTTTTGTCGTCGTTATTGTTTCGTGGTTTGACGGCGGCACACGCACCGATAGTGGCTCGCCATCCGACTTTTGACAGGTCTGTTTCCGACCTTCCGAGACACGCGAGAGCCAGCCAGACGCCCAGCGAGATTTCGGGTGGGCAAGGGGGGACGGGCAGGCAGGCAGGACACACGAGAATTCCACTCTGTGCGGTTATTGGGGAGTGGCCACGCCTCGGCAGTTGACAGCAACGATGCCGCGGGCTTTGCCCATTCAGGACGCGGAATCCCACCTTTGCAGCCCTCGGCTGCGCGGTTCAAGGGGATAGGGCTCCAGATTTCCCAGAGGACAAATGGCAGTCGAGGGCTCTCCGTATTTCCTTCTTTTTTTTTGGGTTCAGTTACGGGTTTGTTCGCCACCTCCTTGCAGACAGTGGTACCAAGTGGTCGGGATCCGCTCGGGACGTCGCGCGTTTACGCGATCGTGCGCCCGTCTGCACATGGCTGTGGCGACGGGCGTGGCGTCCGCGCGCGTTGTTGATGCCCTTCCCTGCGGACTATTTTATATACCCATATGGCAATTACACGATCCCCGACGTCGATTTGATTTCGGGGAGGGGTTTTCCTCATGGATTGTTGTGCGTGTGCGCAAATCGGGGTCCAAAATCCCCCCCTCTCTCCCTTCAAACGGACAAGGGGGAAGGGTCTTTTGGGTTGATTAGGGGTCTTCCTTGCGGGCGTATTGCAGGACAACGAGACAGAGCGCCCCTTGTCACAGCACAGAGGAGCAACAAGCAGCAAGCAAACAAGCAGATGCTAACATCGTTTGAGAGAGAGCCCTAACGGATCCCTGAGGGCGTGAGGGGAGTAAGTCTTGGAGAGGAATAGGGCCAGCCTGTGCAGGGCTTTTTGTACGTAATTTGCAGGGATCATGGGCGGTGTTTTCTTTGTCTTTTTATTTTGTCGCCCCATTGTCCAGATTACGGTTCTTCCATGTTGGAGCCGAAACGGCCTTCTGGAAGGAGCTTAGATTGGAGACGCCCGTAGATCCCTCGGCTGGAGGGGTTTTTTATTTGTTTTTTAATCTCTCTAAAGCTCATTGGAGAAGGAGACAAGAAGAGCGCCGGAGGGCCCTGATCGTTTTTGGAAGGCGGTTGGGAGATAGTTTGTACATACGGTGGGAGGCCTGAGCTGCAGTGAATTGGGACCTTTTTTTTTTGGGGGGGGGGGGGGCCGGAGCCTGCGTGCTTGGCGCGCGAACGACAAGGACTCTCTGCAGGCTACGACCGTGTCCAGCACGACACGACACGGTACGACGACAACGACAACGACACGACACGGGCCGTACCGTGAGAGTTTTCTTTGGCGGGGGGGCCTGGTGCAGCCGAGGCCGAGATGGCCTCGATGGACAGGCGGCGCGGAAGGAGGTTCCGTCCCCCTTCCTTTTGGGCCTGCCTGGCGGTTACACGCGGACGCCCGTTGTACATGTGTTTGCTCCCTTGCTGGGACTAATATGTCCGCGTCGTTTCGTCGTTGTATTCCGGCCGGGCTCTTGCGGGCGCAGAATCTTCGTCTGCCCTTGCGAAAGGAGGGGAGGGGGACACTGCGTTCTGCAAAACACGTAAACGCTAGCTGGGCATGAACGCTAGGCATGTACGTAGGGTACGGACGACATGGACCGCGAGGACAGCGTTCATGGATGGCATGGACGGACAATGAGTCGATGGGGGGGAAAGGGAGGAGGGAAGGGGTTAGTTATGTATGTGCAAAACATTAGAGTTTTGGAGAGCATGTCCCGCGTCCCTGTGGCTAGTCAAGTACCTTGTCGGCGATGTCGTTCGTCAGGGTCTCTTAGGAGGCGAGGTTGCTAGCGTGCTGACGATCGATGTTCGGTGAAGGGTGAAGGGAGGCGCGGGAGTGTACGGCGTGGCTGGCGGATGCGAGACGGCCTTTGGGGATTCGCCGGCGCGGAGGGGTTGGGATGTCCTGGCGTTCGGACGGGACGGGACGAACGACGCGAGGGAGGGGATCGAGGTAGGTTTTGGGACCGGATGGAGACGATGCAGGGCATGTGGTGGTAAGGTTTTGACTCGGTCGGGGGAAATTTTTTTTTTTTTGGTTTTGGATGCTACGAGAGGTGATAATGGTGGCGGCCGTGGCGTGGATGGCGTGAGGTTGTATGAGGATGGTGTTTTATGGCGACATTTCTTTGCGTTTGGGGTGTTGGTCGGGTATTTAGAGGGGGGTTCCCGCGGTGCAGAGGGGGGTGGGATTCCAGCTTTTTTACCACTTTCTTTGGTGACGACTTGTGACGTACGGCTTTTCCTTTCTTTCTTCGAGCCAAGTCTTGATGTGTCGTCGTTGCAATTCGTGTGAAGAGGATGTGGGGTTGGGAATGCTTTGGGAATGTCGATACTGATACCGGTACAGTGAGGGGGCCTGAGAAGGAGG